CGGAGCTTTCAAAAGCAAACGCGTGCCTTGGAGAAGACAATGAGGATAGTCATACGGTTGCCAAAGGGCTGCCACCTGTGACTTTGGGTCCCCGAGTCGACTGTGACGTCACCAAACGCAAGATTTTGTTCTCAAGCGCGCCCCATTTAGTATTGCGGGTCTTTACCCCGGTTGTCAATCTGGCAACTTTCCATGTGCTTCCACCTGCCAGAGCTTTTTTCTTTTCTACCGCCCTGTCTGGCTCGATGATTGAGGTCCTACACGGACGCACCCGGATAGCCTCGTAAGCGACTGCGCAGAAATATTATTCTTTGCTCATGCGTTGGCCCCAGACGGGGAATTGAACTGATCTGGCCTGAGCACGGGAATACTCTGCTATAAAGTTTGTCGCGACGAAATTCAAACTGTCTCGGTATTTTCATGATCGTGCGCTCTTTAAGGCTGGCTTGTTTTGAGAGTGACTTCGATCGACTGCCCAGCGTCTCGTGCTAAAGATGCTAATAGCCGGATGCTTTCCATGCGACGTCTCATCTTCCCCTGTTTGACCGGAGGCCTCACAAGTGCTTGAAAGGCTGCGTTGAGCTGGCAATAAGGATGACGTGCTACTATTACCGTGACTAATATGTGGTCAGGATTGGTTTGGTTGCCATCAGTCCGACTGCCAAACCTCTATCGAGGCCTTACTTTCGAGCGCTCTCCATCTAAATTTCGCCTCCTTCGCTACGAAAGCCTGCATGCTCCACGTGTTCGAAGCTTTCGGCTTCTGTGATAGTGGATTGTTTCTTTTCCTTGTACAGGTCTGTAACGGGACTGAGGTCGTTGCAGGGCTTCCTTGTGACTCACCGGTTCCGTTGCCTATTCAAATGGATTATATAGCATGGACTGGGCTATGAAGACGAAAATATGGCGTGGCAGACATGCCAAGCTTGCACGGAACGTACCGGGGTTCGGAGTCCGAACGGCATTAGGTGGTCAGGCTGATGCATGGATGCAAACGTGCTTATGAGTCGCGCGTTGGATAATACGTAATTTCAAATTTCCAATCTTTCCATGCAAAAAACCAGGCCACAAAAGCAGATCAGCAATTTTACAACAATAATGTAAACATCTAGAGATGCATGATCAGCTGAAGTGGGCTGGGACGAGATACAAGAAGGCAAGCTGTAGTACTGCCACGCATTTCTGACGATCACAAGCTCGGCAGTTAGACTGGGTCTCATCGCTTTCAAAACCCGTGGCTTTTCAGCCACCTAGTACTTACATACTGTAACTGTCAGGACACTTGGAAACAAGGCACTTCTTTCTTTCTTACCCTTTTCGACGCAGCGTATGGAGACCGCCTCTTCATATGCATTGCTTGCACAAGAAGGTAAGCGGACGATGGGGCTGCACTCATGTTGGCTGAAGGGCTGCCATGTGATTTAACAGACGAACTCCGATGTCCGCTATGCTAATATATTCTCCCTTGTGTGAACATTTTCAATCAATGCCATCCTTAGCGCGAATTCCAGCGCTCTCAAAATTCTCGTGTAAATTCGAGCCTTCCCTGATTAGCGTCGAGCGGATTGAATGATGCGGCTGCATGGCAGGAGTCCTTGCTAATAGTGATCGACAAGCGCTGCTCTTATGGCCAGAGGTTTCAAATTGATTTTCAGCGTGGCCCGCGCCCCTCGTTAGAAAGGGGCCCTCAGACGTATTAAGCCGCACCCGCGTTGCGGTTTACCGCATGTTTGCTTCGGTTCCAATGCATTTTTTAACGGATATCGTGCCCGGCCAATATTAGCCCATCATGATTCAGTCAAGTAACGAAGAGTGTCCAGACTCAAGGGACTTCCGAATCAGCTGGTCCGTTTTGACTTTAAGCGAGAAGTGGAGAATACTGTGGTTCCCGTGGTAGCTTGAATAGCGAACATTCGGTGGTGTCCGATGGCAATGAGGAAACAGACCGTTCGGTGATTGTACCCGATAGTTCATCCGGGATGTCTGGAACCTATGCCGGCTGTCCGTTTGAGTTGTGAGTTTGATGCGCGTCATGCTCTTCTCAATCTCTGTGCAAGTACATCTCAAAGCCAATCTGCCGATAACGGAAGCACGCATCTGAACCGTGTTCTGCTGATCGATTGCGGCAAGTACTTCAGATCCGATACATATTGAAGTATGTGCACGTGATCTTGGGTATCGGGGAATCGTTCCGTAGTGGAACAATCCATCTGTGCCTCTTGTGCTCTTGTCTCGCGTCTTAAACACATTTGCGCCCTTATAAGCAAGCAACCAGTCACTTCACCCCTTCATTCGTCACCCGAGCGCACGTCATACGAGCGCATGGACAGTAGAACCCTTTTTTCCCTGGTTCCTGATTCAATTTCATTGTTTGGGACTTTTGGATGCAATTTAAACTACGTAAACGTTGGACTCATCTATCAATGTAGCCAGATAGCAGTACTGTGCCGGCAAGAGGGTTAAAACCTGGTGTACTGGCCTTGTGTTTCGCATAGCTCCTGGGCTCTCTTCTCACCGCATGCTGGTACGTGAGGCCCTCAGTGAATTGCGGGCTGCAGCTACGCTTGCAGTGATGTCTGGGTCTATGGTCAGTCCGGCCCGGCCGCGATCGATCTAGCGCGCCACGGCGCGCGCGCGTGCGTGTCGGCGACCCGGCAATGTTCTTGCGGCGCGCCGGCGCGCGCGCATGTTCCTGTGGCCGCCGCCACCCTGTAGCTCGCGAACGTCTACAGACGGATTTGAAAACCTCTGTCCAGATTTGACCGTTAGATGCAGATATACTAAGGGAGCGGTTGGGTGGGAGAGTTTAGTCCGGAGTCGGGTGTTCATCGTGCATAATTCAAGAGCGGTGGTCTTTTCGTGGGTGTGGCTTTTGGTGCAAAACGAAAAAGTTGGAAGTCTCCACTAGCGCTCTGATTGGATCATGATCAGGGCGCGTGCGGAGAAATCATCGTCGGGGATCTTCAAGCTTGTCTAAGCTATGCTCAGAAGTCTGCGGCAAGGACGGCGCCTTGGCGAACCTCCTCGGCTCGTGGAGTGAATTTCGAAGATCTTGTGCGGACGCCGTACTGACTTGTCAGTAGGGAGCTAGGCTGCAGATTTATGGTTCATCAACACCATCTTAGCAATCAAAGGCAAAACACGGCTTGAAAACCACGGTTTTCCAAAGGAAGGTTCCAACTGGGACGTCTTTTGACAACTTCGGGTGCTCCTCGACGGTGCTAATGACCCCGCCCTCAGCTTGCTGGCCTGTTGAGACGCTTGTGAAATTTTTCAGGTAAGTGACCATCTTGGATACTCATATATCAGCAAGCCGTCTATCGTTCTTCCAGGAGCGGAAGTTGTCTTCCTTGACTCTGGACTGTCTCAAGCATGCACACTTGAAAGTACTCTGGCTCGTATTCGCTGAGGCTGAGCTGCTTTTCGAGTCGGTCGAGAGCGCCTCCGTTGTGCATCATTTGCACGGTCGACATTTGGCAGCGTATAAGTAATTATAGAACCTTCAAAGTTTTGCCAGTTTGCATCAAGCAACAGAAGAGCGACTGTTGGTAGGGCATCCAAGTGGTGCGTTTTTAAATGCTTTCCTCGGGTCCGCCTGACTATTTTCCAGACGCAGAGACTCTTTCATGGCTCGAGTGACCCTTTTGGGCCCAAGAGATCATCTGGTTTCACCTGAACCTTCACGTCACTTCTCAAAGACGCGATCGAACTACGCTTCGCTGTCATTTTGCTCACGTGCGGGCCAGGACGCTATACTGCCATCGCTGAGCTTTCCGGGCCAGCGAAAACGGGGAAAGAGCATCGGAAGCCATCAACACTGCCCAGTCTTGACTGTGCTTACCCAATCGAACCTGTTGGCCTGTTACTATTGATCAAATCCTTTACCGACTTGAGCATTCCAAGCTTCTTTGTACAACTGTACTTCCACTCTGTTCGGCTGCGTTTCGTCTCTTTGAGTTGCCACGTGGCACATCCCGATTGGTGCCAACTCACGAAGTCGAGATCCTTTCCTTTGAGAATCTTCAGGTCCCGTTCAAACGTTTGGAAACCCGTGTTTCAAAGCCGAAGCCAAATGTCAGGTTTCCAAAACGGGCTTCTGAGCCCGCTCGCATCGTAGTACTCCTAATTCGATGCACTCAGGGGATCAGGATTTTGAGCACGCATTAAGTGTGTTATCTGGAGCAACCGGTAGCAAATTAGCGCATGATGAGTCATAGAAAGGGTCCCTTGGTATTCAAGCTAGCTTCCTTGAATGCGACTCGGAGCCTGGTCGCGAATCCGGATGGGCTCTCCCAATGCATACCTCATGCCCCCCAGTGGGCCATGTGAGAAGCTCCGATATACCCCTATGCAATTGATTCGTCTCCAAAACCTTCGCGCAATAGCACTAATCCAAAAGCTGGGAGACGGTCTCGCGCGGCGATGAAAGAAGCGCGGGCGGTGAGGATCATATAGCTTGTTTTTGGCGGATCGACGCATGGTGACCGCCACTGAGGCCTCATTTGTCACATACCCGATGCTCGAACCCTCAAACCGTTCAACAGTAATTTTGACGGTCTCAGTACGTGGACCGTCGACTTTCGTCCTTATGATAGTTAACCGAGTTGCAGTGCGGTTTTCGGCCTCTGCGATGCTGGGCGGGGCATGATCATTGCTTGGGCACCGTCCTGTCAGTCTCGGCATGACTATATATGAAGTAATGCGCGGCCTTGTGCAAGACTCGGTATCTCTTTTGGCGGGCGCCGGCCAGCCGTTTGAGTGTTTCGTCAACCATCGAATGCATGTAACTGAGCTCATGTGGATATCCGCGCCTCGAAATCTGCTTGTCCTATTCCTTGACCGTCCAGCCTGCTAGTGTTGGGCGTCCGAGTGGTTTGTAAGACCAAGCTAATCCAATCGTTGGGCATACTTGCAGCCAGGCCGGGCGAGCATCATGTACGTATACGGTCTTTCGTAATAGGAAAATCAAGCCGCCTGACAATTTTCTGAGGCCAGCATGCCATGATGCTTCTCCCTGAGGTTCCTTTTTGAAACGCCACACCGATCGTCCGGACCAAACCGCTTTAAGTGCCACGTACGCCTTATTCGCGTGGAACCCCAAACCTTAGCAAGGTAAGTGACCTTAATCAGGGCTGATCTTGACTGACCAACTGAAGCCTGGTTGTCAGATCGAGGGCTCAGCTTGAATATCCTCACGGAGACCTGGTGCTATTCTGAGAGACGAACGAGATAGGGGCACTTATAATCATTGCGCCTGTTTCACACTCAGTGACAACATCCGACATTGACTCCTATGTGGGCTCTAAGTTTGATCTCCTCATTATTGTCCTCCCTCCTTTCCTAACCCTTCTTCTGAATCCACAATGGAAGTCATGATCACTCTCGGTACGTTCCCCTGCCAAGCTCCAACACTTTACTTGATGGGACGTCACAGATACTCTAGCTGCTGTTTCCAACGAAGCTCCAACGAAGCGGCCTCCAAGAACTCTCCAAACTGCGCCCACTACACTGACGTAAAGACCGTTAGGCCCAGTATCACTAGTTCGGGCGCTGTGTAAGTCAAAGATAATCTAGAGACGGTTTCCTACGGAGCTCCATCGAAGCGGCCTCCAAGTACTCCCCGAACTGCGCCCACTTGGCGGTAAAAGCTGCCAGACCCAAGGTTAGCAGTCCGTGCGCTGTAAACCCGCCGGTTATCAGCTCTGCAGTGGTGACCGGCCAGTTGAACCAGGCAAAGGCACCGGCTCCAGCCGCCGCGGCGAATAGGAACCCGCGAAGCATATCCGGGTCAAATAGACCCGGAACTTCTGAATCTTCCCACGCAATCTGCAATTGAAAAGAGCGGTTGGGTGTCAGGCTTTTTGACCTAAGTTGTCTTAGGTGAGGTTCTTCGACGTTCGAATCTCTGCGTGGATCGTATCGCAAGGAGCTTCGTTGAAAAATGATTAAGGGAAAAAAAGTGATCGGGAGTCTGGCTGCTAATTCTGATTGACTAAGGTGAGGTTCTCTGACGTTCATATTCTGCACGACCTGCCGCAAGGTGCGTCTTCAACAGATTTTGAAGCGGGAAGGGTGAGTCGTCACCCTGGCAGAGCACTCTTGGGGCAGACAGCGAGAAAAACTCTTGCTTCTTTTTGCCCCTACGTCTTCTGAAGTGTGAAACGGTGATTAAGCAGGCGTAAGTCGTCAACTGCTTTGAATCACGTTCATCTACCTAAGATTCAGCAAACTTGTCCACTGGCTGTCTGGAAGACGTACACCTAGATTTGGTCACTTGGGTCGGCAAACGGGACTTGAATTCGTTTTGCAAGGGATCCCTCCTGGCATCTAAATCAAACCAGTCCGAAGCAGACGCAAAGCCCAGATCCGTGCAAAGCGGAAGTTCCTCCATGTTCAGCTTGATTCCAGAAACCGAAGATTTGTGTGGCAGATCCCGATAACTCACAACCGCTGTGGAACTTTGATGCAGCTTTATATATCAAAAGCCAGTTTTCTGAGTTCATCTTCCGCTCGCGTCGACCGGGTTTTCTCATAAGCTACATACTATTTTACTCCCCGGTGATCATTCCGAATGGAATTTCCTGAAAATAATTTCCAACAATCCGACCACAGCTGGTGAATTATTTATGGTGATTCCGAACAGAATCCGAACACCTTATGTTTACACTAGGAGAAGGGTTTTGAGGCTGATTTTAGCCGTTTCTCGGCTTTCAACTTCCGTTTAAATTTATTTAACCTTTCCGAATTTGCACTTTCCGAATGCAAAACCCAAATTTCTGAGTTTCCGAACAGGTAATTGTTTATTTATTCGGAATCATCACCGGGGAGTACGGTATTGTTTCGTTGAGAGCTCCCACCTGCCGGTCGACTTCGTGTACGATCAGTTCCCGTTCTTTCCGCTCCTTGTCCAGCCGCGTCTCGTTCTCAATATCAAGGTTTTCCCAAACCCCATCGAAAGGGTTACAGTGACCCGCGGTGTATTGCACGAACCGGGTAGTAATGCCCGGCACGTGCGCCGCCCCCACCACTGCGACGACCTTCTTGCGCCGGCGTTTCGCCAGAGCCGCAAGCTTCTGCAAACGAGCGGATCAGAAATTCAGTAAACATCGTGTGAGTTAAGAGCCACAGAAGGTTTTGGCCCCGACCCATGGATGTTTTTGGGCTGCTTATGGACTGGTTATGGGCTGGTTAACGAGCGGATCAGAAATTTAGTAAACATTGTGTGAGTTAAGAGCCACAGAAGGTTTTGGCTCCAACCCATGGATATTTTTGGGCTGATTATGGGCTGATTATGGGCTGGTTAACGGTGATTTAGTGTCCAATTACCAGACTTGGGCGGTAACCAGCCCTGGAACAAGGTTAAGCCCGGGTATCTGTCCAATAACCTGGGACTCAAGTCTGCTAACCAGCCTGGTTAGCAACCAAAACTTCTTGTGAGCTGTGTGACTAAGATAGGGCTCGGGGGAGGCTGGGGTTAGCCCCTTGGTTTGGGTGGGTTAGGGTGCGGAGCGCCTAATGAATTGAACTAGGACCATTAGCTACTTTGCTTGAAACCCTTGAATTTCCAGTTTCAAAGCTCTTATGGCACACACTAAGTACCAGCATTTGAGAAAAACCAGGCTTCGTCTGTAACAATGACGTGCGGAGTTTCTCCTCACTTTCGGGTCCGCTCACCACCGCTTTCGGACCCAGAAGCGAGCGGAGAGTGCTTTGAAGGTGGAATCGCAAATCGAACCCAATTCAAACAAATTCAGGACTCATTCTTTAGCTCATTCATAGTAGGAGGCAATCAGGTGATCGGACAGTTATTTGTCGAGAGCCGCCAAAGCCCTTGCAGAAATACAATGCTTTTTGTCCGGCCCCTTAACCTCGCAACCAAGATGTTGTTTTCGACGGAGTATTCGATAGTTCCCACAAAGGCGGGGAGCAAGGTATGTCGTCGATTTCCCTAGAATTTGCACCTAATGAATTGCAGAGTGGCCTTGGTTAAGGTGCCCCGAATTTGAGTTTAGTGAGGAGCGACTCACGAGCCCCATGAGGCGGTCCCGCTCGTGGAGGAGAGCAGAGTAGACATTCGGGCCTTCCGTCTCGTCAAACGCCGGGCATAGCTCGCCTTTGACACATTCAAGCCGGGTCGCTTCCAAGGCCTTGTTCTTCAGGGATTGGAAGACCGCGACATCGTCCAAAGGGGCCGGCTTGCCTGCGGACACCGGAAAAATAAACTATTAACTAACTTTGAGTTGTGGTTGGTTAAGTGCCCTTCTACCAAGCGAACCTAGGTTTATATCCAGTTCGTTGCCCTTCAACCATTCTTGATTAAGGGCGAAAGCTTCCTGTGCTAGAGTTGAGGGAAACTCAAGTGAGTCAAGTCTAGGTTGGAAACTTCAAGCGGGGCGTAAAGGGCCTCAACATCCGTCAAGCATATAGCTTCCAGATGCGGTTCGTTGGATTGCGATTGTTTGAGTGAAAGACCAGCACCAGCTGCCTCTACGAAGACCTCGTAATCCTTTCAGAGGTGAAATCTGAAATTGAGGCTTTCCTCAGTTCAACGGAAACCGAAACCGCTCCGACTGATTCGACAATTATTGGACTCAAAGAGCTGGCCCATCAGGCGACGTCGATCGTTGCGCGGGGGCGCGCGCCCGGCAACTCCCAGGGTTACATCTTGTCCACTCTCTGTGTGCCCATGAACATATGACCAGCTTCCAACCAGCCCTTAACCGACCATGGGTAAGGCCCAAAACCCCGTGTTCAAGCCCTCAAGCCTTTGATCGCTTACCGCTCAGGAATGCCGCTACGATCCGTCCGAATGCTGCCGCCTCCCTTTGCGCGTCCCCATCGGACTTTTCAAACGGGTTCTTGATCAGTAGTTGTAGCATGAGGGCCGTCGATTGCGGGATCTGAGCAGACGCACAAACAGGGTTAAGAATAAACCTCGACCTCAGTGTTGGATCGAAACCGGGTTGGAGGTACACAAATGGGAATCGGGAGAAAGCACTAACTAAACTAACTCTAGATACAAACTAACGCGCTCCGCACCTGTAACCACCTAAACCCCCAAACTAACCCCACTCGTCCGCCGGGTCTGAACTATCTCAACCTGTCCGAAATCGATACTACGTTCAGACGTGCGGTGTGAAGAATGTCATGCACCGGGCAATTGACGCTTTGAAGGAAATCTAAACAGCCCAGTGATAGTAAGGAACGTGAAGGTACGTGCATGTGATCCTCTTCCGTAAATCGGCTTCTAGTTCTGGCTGCCACGTGGAAGACTCTGAACCGTGGAGATACTAGAGCCACCGGAAGCACTGAAAACTTCTGATCTTGAACATCTTCGGACACGACTGTCCTTTGACCAGCTTTTCTATGGTAGATCTTAAACCAAGATTGAAAAACCTTGGTTTAAGATGACCCTGCAAAGTTGTTTTCGGTGCGGAGCTACGAACACCGACATACCACAAAGCAATGAACAGTCACAGTAACGCTTCGATCACAAAGCGCCATCCCGTACTGCCTTTAGGGACATATGAACCACATAAAGACTGTTTAGTGGCCAGACAAAAAATCAGTACTCACTCTTACGATACCACTGAGCGTGGTTTTTGCTCGTTCGTGGATTCGGGCATGATCGAGTTCTTCCAAAAGGGAAGTAATTGTAGCGATGCTCCTGCGCTCAACAAAGAAGTAACATTTCTTTCGATCCTGCGGGCGTCATACTTATGGAGTTTTGAAAGGTGCTCCGGCATGGTTTTTCTTTTGGTGCATCCAGACAATTGGTGCGAGCGGTTAGTAAACCGAGTTTAAAATGCAGGTTCTTCTACTCTCTGCTTGAACCAGAATCAAGAATGTTTCCTTTCATTGACGTGTCGTGCAACTCCATTTCCCGACTCGCTCAGACAATGTTTCCAAGAAAAGGCTCAGAGTGAATACGAGGCGCCACATTGGATCCCAAGAAGACGGATAGTGGAAGTCGAGCTCTAACCAACTCCGAGTTCCGTAAGTTTCTGATCTGCTTTTGCATCTTGCCCAGTATCTTAATACCCTCCGGTTTTCAGCAGATCGTGAACCGTCAACGGGCTTCAATTTGGCAAAGGAGGCACCACTCCAATCCGGAGATGCGCTTCTTTGAAATCAGCGAGCGCTAAAACAGGAAGCCCCTGAAGCCTACGCCCTTAAGACTTCGGATCGTTGAAACCCGGCCCAAATTGATTGCACTTACTGGTCGATAGGCTCAATGCGGGCGCCAATTTGCCTGGCTGCTTCAATGGCAGAACGGGCATCGCAGCCGTATGGAATCCCCAACGCCTGCAGTTGAAAGCAGTAAAAGGCTGAGTATAAATGAGGTTCCCGCGTTGGTTCAATTTGTCACTCCGGATCTCACAAGAGGTGGACAGAGAATGTAGCAGGGCTGTTTGTAACCCGTACACACGAATGTTTGGCCCTTAACCAAGGATGCTTATGAGCTGGTCAGGAAGTGGTTGAGCGTCCAAGCGAACTTGCGCGGTAACCTGCCTCGAAACAAGGTTAACCGCCGGTTACTCGTCGAAAAACCTGAGATCCTGGTTCCAACTTTCTACGCTTCCCTTTCTAACCAAGGCCGGCAGGCTGCTTGCAAAGAGCTGTTGCTGGACTCTGTCTGGGTGACGCGCACCTTAAATTGTTGTGCCTTGATACACCTTGTGCGGAAAGATGTATCAATAACAATCCCCGAGAGTTATTGTATGAGCAGGCCGCTGGGTTTGCTGGGATCTTGGGCGTCCCTGGCATTGGATAACCATGCCCTCCATGCGCGTGAAGTTGACCCGGCACATTCTTGACCTTACAAATCTTATGAAGCTATAAGCCCTGGTTGAATCCTGTGAGTCGCCTAGGGAGTGGTTGACAAGTAGCACAGGAGGTTTTGGCCCCTACTGATGCGTGACTATGGGCTGGTTATGAGCTGGTTAATAGTAGTTGACTGTCCAATGGCCAGACTTGAGCGGTAGTAAGTAGCCCTGGAACAAGCTTAAACCCTGGTTATCTATCTAATAACCTGAGACTCAAGTCTGCTAACCAGCCTGGTTAGCTACCGAAACTGCCTGTGCAGGTTTAAGTTAACCCACCTGAGACTCAATGTGGGGTTGATATGCAGACCAGAGCTTCTCAAAGTGCCCCGCGTACGACCTCTGTACAACGCTCAACGCCTGCATTGGGAGAATCAGAGTTAATGTCTGCACGATTGTGTAGCGACGTACTGAGACCGCTCGCCCAACATTTAGTATGGCCGTCAAGAAAGGATAGATATGCGAAGGCACGGAGTTCTTGGAGGAGTCAAAATCAGGCATCTTAGAGACAAGTGCAAGAAGCTTCGTGCTTCTGTCATCTTTGACAGGGGTCTCAATGGCAACTGGTCTAACCATATTGCTCCTTACTCTACTGATGTGCCGGAATTGTGAGATACTTACCTCCCAGGTTGTGTGTAATGAAACTTCCCCTGCTGCTGCCATCAGATCGCACTCCATGAGCTTGAGTCCCTCCGGGTCCAGCTGTCAAAAGTCATGGAGAAGGTGTGTCAGCGGTTGTGAAGATAGTACCAGTGCTAACTACAGGCTTCCCTCCAAGTTGATCAGACTTGAAGGTGTTGACTATTTCATAGATTTCCCCCAAGATGGCTAAGAAGGACATTGTAATGATCCCCCTTCAGCAAAGATTATAAGCAAATCTTGACCAGCAACGAACCTGAAGTCTGTTTGTAAATGAAAAAAGGGCCAGGCTGTGTTCTTGCAGTCAGATCTACGGAAGTGCGAAATAATGGCAGTAGACGTGACTGCAACAGCTCCAATACCCCGAGCCTCGTAAGACCTTCAATTTGTTTCACGCCGCTTCACGCATCTGATTGTCCGGTTGGTTTAGAAGCACTAAACTGGTTCATGGAACACACGAAGAATCAAGAATGCTAACCAGGCTGGGTAACCACGTTTCAACCTCCATCATTGGGCAACAACCATGTTCAAAATCTGAATATTGCTCGAGTCTGGTCGCTCATTGGACATATGAACAGCTTCTGACCAGCCCATAAGCCAACATAGTTAACCGCCAGAACTTACCTCCACAGCTACAACGTCCGGCTTGACCGCTTCAATAAGCAGCCGGACGTCCTCCATGCTAGCTTTGGACACGTGGGCTGTGCCAATCAAGTACACCAAACTTCCTTTGTGAGGACTCTTGAGGACCCGAACAAAGCGCTTGGTCTCTTCCGGCAGTGGCAGCTCCTCAAGGTGACGTGGGCTCTCGAAAAGGCTGCCACGTGTCTGGTCGAAAAACTCTTGCCAGCTGTCGAATGAGGCATGCTCCCAATCAGCTGTAGAATGTGGACCTGCGCCCATGTCGAAAGCGAGGCTCGGAGACTCTGCAAAGCGGTCCAGGCGTTTTGGAAGCTTCTGAAGGAAGCCTTCTGACCCTATTCTGGTAGCTGGGCTGTAGGACAAATCAAGTGCGGTTCCGGAACGGCATTGGAAGCGCCCTTTCCCTTTTCTAATAGTACCAACCCGCCACTCATGCTCAGAAAAGAAAGTCTGCCCAGCATTGTGAATCAGCTGGGGACTCCGTCTCAGCCCGTCAATATGGGGGCCCAGGCAGTTTTGAACACCCCTTTTTACCGGTAGTTTTCTTGACAAGCTGCCCAGCTGCTGCGCTGTTGGAATGCCTGGAGAGACACTCGCAAGCTTGCCATCACAGCCGCCCGTCTTTGGCCTTGCATTTGCGCGCACGCGCCCCCTCCTCAAAGCCCCCATGTGACCCATCGAACGCCACACAATGTTGCTGACAGGCCTAATGAGAGTATGGCGTTTGCCTTGTGTTTATACTCCGAGCTGGGTTGATGTTCTTATGCCTGCAAGCGCATCCAGGAAAAGCGCTTCTAAGAGCTCAATTTGAAGAGGGTCATCATGGAGAGCAGGCCTAGCTTGTGATTGATGCATATGGCAGCCAGGCCAGGCTGCCATCTAAGTATTAGGAGCCATCTGCCAGCTCAGAGCTGGGTTTCTGACCGTCCTCTCTAGAAGTTCTAGCGCAGAGGAGATCTGGATTCTCGACCCTGTACACTTTCAAGACTTCGTTGCATGGGCATTGAAGTCGGTAGTACTGCCTATCCAAGTTACCGGGTCATTGGGTTTCTGTTTGTGCGGCGACTGTTTTGGCATCTTTGTACCGTAGGAGTTTCGCCGCTAAAGGGTTCGAAAACGCACGGGAGTTGCCGGGGCCGGCATGCATTGATCCTGCAAACCAGAGTCGGCCGGCCCGGCGGGACCGGAGCCTGTCAGATTGCCGCCGTCAGCTGTCAGATTGTCAGACACGTTACCGGCCGATCGACGTCGATCTACGGTACTAGGATTCAGGAATGCAACTTCGAATTTAACGCTTCAAATTACGTGGATACGGTATTGCCTTGATTTCTATCTCAGAGCTTGGGACATTGATTATCTTTCTAAACCTGTCGAAATCTTTCTGAGCTGCCAAGACTGACGAGTAATTTAGAGACTACGCTTCGACGCGCTTACTCGAAATAAAGTTATCGTGCATATAATTCACATTTTATAACCTATACATCTATCGCTTTGTGAGTCGGCATTCACAGTATTTACTATTTACTGTTCACTTGAGTTGATGTGATTCGACGAAACCCAAACGCTGTCTCGGCCGGCACTCGGCGCCGTTGGCGGGTCTTGCGGTGCGTGTGCACTGTGCGGTACACTCAGCCAATTCAGACCACTAATGAGATTCAACTTGATCCCAGCCACAAATTAGATAGACCGTCGGCCAGTGCAAACGCTTGCGAGCCGTGTGTCTGCCGAAATACCGTACAGAAAATCAGGCTGACAGCCAATCAGACTCCACCGGCAACGGAAATGGCGGGGTCCAATCCTCACCCTAGAATGGCGGCGCAGAAAGACCCGTGACTCGTGAGTCATGAATGCACTTGGGTACGTAAGTATGTACTGACGTAGGTAGGTACGTCTGCATTTTCGTTGTTACAATATGGTTTGCACATTGTAGACACTAGTAACTACTAACTTAATCACACTGATCAGAGTTGTGAGTGATGGTTTAATTATTAAATTTTAAGGGTTTTAGCCTCTTTTAGGGAATTAGTTATCAAATTGCTCAATAATTTACCATCCCTCCATCGATGGGTGGACACTACTAGTATGGGCACAGGACTTCGACTAATATTAGCTGACTCTTCTAAGGCGCGCGGCCGTGAGGCTTGGGCAATTTTGCGGCCCCCAAGCCGTGCCATCAACTAATTGGAGGAATTTGTATGTATATCCTTTTAGCGATTGATCGAGCATACCAGTTCGGGCTAGGCCTCAACTCGTTACTGTAGCCAGGCTTCCGAGTCCCCCATAGCCAAGGCCCAGACGGGATCAATCTTCTTGCGGTTTCTGGGTTAATTTGCCAACAACTTGATCCATTGATATGTGGCGTTTGGTACTGTTGCGATCATTATATCGAAACCAGAGCAACTCGAAGCTTCGTGAATGAGCGGGCCACGGTTTCTATGTTTGGATTCGTTGATAATGTCGAACTGCATTTCAATCATGCATCGACCAGAACTTGAGTCAAATTGAATACGGTAATAACATTGACTCTTTCTATGCATGGCCCAAGTCATCCCGATTTTCAGCCTCCGGTCACGTCTTCTAAAGTGCGCGTGGCATGCCGCGGCGCCGCCTCCGGTCCAGTTTCGACAGTAACATTTGTCACACCGTTTCTTTACCTTTAACACCATGTCGATCATCAATAGGAGGTTTCCTTCCTTGGAATACCTTTAACACCATGGAGGAATATTAGCTAGTGGGAGTTTTCCTTCGTAAGAAACCCAGATTCCCAGACGGCTTTCAAGCCTTTTACTTCGACCGAGGCCTTTGCAATCGCGGACACTTTGCGGCAGTCGCGTTTCTGCGGGAGCTGTGATCGTCGCTATACTTTTGTTTCGTCCTTGGTTTGCGTGACGAGACGTACATTATTTGCACGGGCACTAACTTACTATGAGACGGCGATGAGGTACCGGTTGTCGACATGGCATGCAGCGGACACGCCACGTCATGTCTTTTGGCGCTCGTTCCAGAGCCCTCAGGCTCCTTCGTTCTTGAGAATCTAGATCGTTCGCGGCACCAATTACCAGCCTGATTGTATTCAGGATTGCGGTGGGGCATCTGAATTAGATAGCGCCTCTAGGGGGCCTCTATACGCCACCAAAAGACGTTACCTCTAGACGTCACCTCTAGACGGTCTCCTAAGTGAGTGCCCATCAGACTACACTCTTACGTACCTCGACTGCTGAAAGGGTTTTCACATTGACTTCAACAAACTGGATTCATCAAGCGCCTGAAGGAAGTGGCGGGCTTCGAAACGTGTGCTATTCACCCAGATCATCAATCGATCTCCTGCAGTGCTGGAGGCTTCACTGGAGTCACTCCGTGCGACAACAGATTATGGCGATGATCGAGCATGCAGAGATGCGGATGATCTCAGAACCTGGTCTCGTTTCGTCGACTGATTCCCACAGTCTCTGCCCGGCTACCCAGCTAGCTTTCTTTCCTTTAGCTTGCGACTTTCTCTGGTTAACGAGTCGGTGAGTAAAGTTTCTGTAAGGCCACGGATACGTTGGGGGCAAATAAGAAAGGTCAGCGATCCGTAGCTGGCATCTTGTTCGAAGTCAGGCACATGGGCTTTCAGATGGGCTGTGATTTGCACTTTGAGCGTCCATCTCCCTCCTGGGATGGCGGTCCGAATCGCCAATGTTCCCCGATTCTTCCCGTATACGTATTGCTCGAGTTTGTTTGGCATGTCAAGGCGCGGCTGGTTAGTAATGTGTCCGGCTTAAACGAGACCCGTACACAGACGCATCAGCTTGCTGAACAGGGCGACCGCACACCGCGTTTTTCGGTTCCTGTGTCGCCTGGAGACGTGTGTATCTTCTTGCGCCCAAGCGCGAAACGCTCGTGCGGGGTGACCGCACAGGACGTCTTTGAACAACGTCTCGGTGACATCACGCCCTATTCGATGTCGGCTGGTGTCTGAAGATTGCTTTATTGCCCAGTGCTTCCGTCTGAAGATGTGCGAACAGATGCTCTCCACATGTGTCATTACATACCTCCGAAAGATCCCAAGACTGTTTACATGGCCTCGATCAGGCCATGAAGATGACAACCTCGTGAATTGAGACGCTGTAACTTGTGCAAGTTCGTCACCACTCCGACTGCCCAAAAAATTGGCACCAAGACAGACCTTTCGAAAGGCACGTTAATTCCCTGTCGTCACCTTTTTGAACGTCGCGGTACAGCCAGATCACAGCTTTTGGGATTAGTTTGCGAGTCCGGAAGCAAACGCTCGAAAACCCTGAGCGCACCATGAGACAAAAAAGATGGCTGCTGAACGGTAACCACAAATGAATCTCCCTGGTTGTCTGCTACAGTGATACCTCCGATATGTGTCTCTGAGCGGTCTCGTTCTTACTCCAAGCCTTTCTTCAGCGGCTTGGAGAGCAATTCCGGCCTGGCACTTTAAGCCTCCGGTCATTCAGCATCGAGCACCGGCCTTGTCGTTCAAAGGAATTGCACGAGCGCACCCGCCTCGCCGTGCGCGTCATGTGCGCGTCATATGCGCGTCATCTGCTGAATGTGTGGCTTTGTTTATCATCAACGAAAGTGAGTATGGACGTAAGGCCTGCCGAGCTTTACCCACGAGATTTGCCTTCCGTCCGAAAAGCGAGCACGTTTCTTGAATCAACTCAGCTGCGATCAAGTACTCTCAGGGCGCAAGGGACGTCTTTTCCCATGTTATCGCTGACCGTTTAGCAAGATGCATCCATGCTGATCATGGGGTTATCTGGAGCCGAACTTTCGGCTCCGCTGAAAGGAGTCTGCTGACCGAGACTAGCCGGTGTCATATAAAAATCTAGTCACATCCTGTTCGCTACCCACCTCAGTAGGTTCTGAGGAGGTGATCTGCAACGATAGTGAGGACGCTCACGCTTTGGCGGGCCAAAGGCCGGCCAGTAGTCCAAAGGATGTTCCTCGGACGCCGTTGTCGTGCTTCGTCTAAACTTGACCCCAGATTTCCGCACGGCCGATTCGTCTAGATGCACTGACAGTAGTCGAAAGATCAAAGGCCTCTTGGCTTTTGTGTGGATTTGAGTACGTTTAGCCACTCTGTAACCCACTAGTTTATTCATTACGTCTGGAGATGCTTCACCGTTTAACGACTCTCGACGGCATCCTTCTTGTTTGATGAAACCCGCTTGCTCGTCCTTCTACGTCCGGTACAATCGACCCTTTGCAGCCCTCCGGATCGAGACTCAGCGACTTGAGTTCCGACCCCGTGACATGCTTTTGGCAGGTTATGAAGAGAGTTATCAGAAGCTGAGTAGTGCTAGTATTGTGGAATGTGGAGGTTTACTTTTAGATTCTGTCGTTCTCTGCCGTTCGATGCAGGGACGTTGCATGAAGCCGGGTGGGGACGTCATCAAGCTGTAAAGGGCTGACGAGCAAGCTAGGCAAACTTTTGGCGTGGCTTGGCACTCAACTTTTGGGTTGATTAGTAACGGAGCCGCATGTACAATAGAATTCAGATCCGCTTTGGGAAATGAAACGGTCGAGAGTCAGAAGAATCGAAGGGAAATTTCACTCAAAGCTCGAAAACCTCGGTTTGCGTAAATAGAACGGAAGAGAACGTTCCCACTTGCGCAGAAAAGTCTCTCGTCGTGATTGCCAGAAATCTGAGACGTCGCACCGGCTACATCTCTCTTTGTGGTGTGGCCCGAAGCGCAATTTAAGTACATCTGATTGACCGGGCCGGGTCAAGAATCTTGAAGTATCTGGCAGAAACACAGTCTCGTTTTCAACGGTTTTCCTTTGCTTAGCCGGTGCATCACGCATTTCCGGTTAGAGCGATTCTGTTCAAGCCGTAGGAATCATCTTTGACATGAGCCTCTTCAGCTTGTCGTACTATGAGCGCCCCCTGCGGCGGCCAGCCATTGCGGCAAATTTTATTTTTCTGCATTTATGGCTGTTTATTGCTATGGCAGTCTTGTATCAACGAACTATTGTTATATGGCGCTCTGGGGACTCGGCCGAACTACTCTGTCAGAATACATCTTTTTCCTCATTGTCGGAACTGAAATAGTGTCACGGGCACGCGACCGGATGGCCTTTGAGCACAGCTCATAAACGGGGCTGTTCGTGTTGATCAAGCCTCAGTGCCTATGGCGATCGCAACGGCGTGTGCGCTGAGGCGCTGCTGCATGACACGCATTCATGTGCAGTCTCGTTCACCTTCATACGCCGTAACCTCACTGATTTCGGCGTACTTCTGCAAAAGTAATTTGCGATATTGTAGTAGGCCGAACGTTGTGGTCTTGATGTCAGCCGACCGCATGTGATTTTTCAATGATTCCTCTCGATGCGCCGCCGTCAACATGTATACTCTCGCTGAGGTTTGACGCAATTCAGACACTGTGAGCTCGACAAAAAGCCATCGTCGTCTCGGCCAGATAGTAGTACTAAGGCCATTGAGACAGAGACGCAGTGTGGTCATCAGATTTTAAGATTGCTTTTGAAAATGAACTTGCAGTGCCCTTGTGAAGCACCGTAATGATCTAGCTTGCCACACTCTTTCGCCACGTGATGTTCCACATGGCAGACATGCGGCGGCGATTCACACAACGTACACTTTGCGCAGGCGCGCGGCCCGGCCGAGCCACCGCGGCGGCGGCGCGCGGCTGCAGTGCCAGCCCGGGCCACTGGCACAGGCGGACCGCAGAACTTCGCGATCTTGCGATGGACGAAATCGCAGCGCTACCGTCCGATCTGAACATAAGGACTCCAGTCTGCAAAGTTTAGCTAGGGGGTCGCAAACTTTTGCAGGACAGGTTCCGAAACTAGGGTTCGGACAAACCGAGCCTAACTGAGAATAAACGAAAGATCTCGAGCGTTTATTTTTTGACGTCAAAATCTGGACGGCAGCGCTGCGATTCTTGGTCGTCCCCCAGCTATTCTGCGGTTCTGCGGTCCGCCTGGCCCGGGCTCACTGAGTGAGCCCGGGCCTCATACTATAGAGTGGCTGGGCCGGCGCGCAGGCGCCCGGCCGCGCGGCTTTGTTCGGCTGCGCGCCCGGCCACCTCGCGGCCGTGCCACGCGGCCGCTTCGATCTCTGTGTCCGTCCAGAATTTCGAGGCCGGCCGAACAAGGTTCATACCAAATACATATTGACCGTTAGATGCAGGGCTGTCGAACTGAATAAACGGTAGACGACGTCTGGCGAACTCCTTCTATGACGTCGTGCAGTGACGACCGGATAGGGTTTGGAGTCCGAGGGGGAATGAACTTGGACAGTGCGCAAAATGAATGCTTCCATGCAGGTACCGGTACATTGTACCGTAGTCTGTCGACTTGCTTGTACCTAATCCATGCAAATCACCTTATCACCATTGGTATGAGTGGAAGGTGGAGCTGTCTCACCATCTTTCAAAAGCTCAGTTGCCGGACAAAGTGTCATATACCTACGCTTACTTCCGCTTGTGAAACACCAATGCTGTGACCAACTGACTAGTGATACAAGATGAGCACCGTCAGCTAGTGGAGGGAGAGGAGCCAAGGAGTTATCATGATCTGAACCTGCCACTCTTCTCCCTTCATAAGGTCTGCAGCTCAGACGAGCTCCTGGTCGCAGACCTCGAAAGAAGCTGCGTCTCATATAAATGTGACTGTCAGCATTTGCTGCGGTCAAATGAAGCAGGCAGGAAGCTTTCCGAGTGCCTGAATGCAGAGTAACGTAGTCAGAAGCATTTCAGATTGTTGAGAGTACAAGCAGCAAGACAAGTTCCTGTACTGAAAATGTTCTGATAATGAAATTTACTAGTTTAAGCTCTGCAGAGGCCAACTGAAGTTGAGAAGCAGAAGCTAAGTATCAGTGCTACGTCGCAGGAAGTTCCGCTTGTCGAGCAAAAGCAGCAAGAAACGGCTGGAGGAGTTTTAGGACTTACATTGTTATTATTCTGGTTCGCCTTGACAGAGAACAGGTTTAGTCAGTGGTACACAGTACAACCGTCACACTGTTCAAGCCCAATTGAGTCTGTTACAGTCATCTGAAGGCCCAATGGCAACGTTTCAAAATGCGACGCTTGCCTTCACCGGCGACAGCATGCACTGGACCCAAGGGACAGCCTTTGTGTAAGCTCCAGCCCGAGCACAGATCTCAGCTTACATTTCACTGCAGTCTGCCTCGAGATTGTCTTTGTTGGTGGTGTGGATTCAGTAGGAGAGACCAGTGACTGGCAACTCTATGAGCAGCTTTTTTTTTTAAAGGCTCAACATTTCGTTAAGGTCTATACTTTGATAGACTTGACAGCAATTACCTCTACATTCATTGCTAGAAGACTTTTGATATGTTTGAGAGTCGGCAGTCCATCAATGTGAATGTGCACCACCTACAAGCCAATCTCTTAGCAACTTCCAGTATAGCATGAAAGCGAGCGGCTCAGAAACTTCCAAATCTGCAACTAGGAGCGCGGCACTTGATGCGCGCCCAGTACTGTCATGTGTTGAAAGCATTGAGAAGCCTTGTTTGCATTGGTATTTTTCAGGGAACCAACTGATATCTGCATGTAGATTCGTCGATTATGTTCAAGGTGGTACAAAGTACTTACTTCTAGCCGCTTGCATCCGGTATGCCTGGTTGCGATACATCTGTGCTGGATGAAAGGTGTCAGCCGAAGCAAGGTGACAGTTTGCCACACACGATCCCGCTGTATTAGGCCCAGGCTGGCGGTTTTAGCTTCTCATCCATGCAGGGAGAACGGTGGTCAAAATCTTGTCCGTTCGTTCATCAATTGGTCACGTTAGTTTAGATAGTTAGTTAGTTAGTTAGTCAGTTGGTCAGTTCAGTGACTGCAAGGTACAGAAACTGGAACGGTTGCTTGTTGCAGGTTGGAACAGCTGAGTGCTCTTGCGGGAATGCTGCCTCCATCAACCACCGTTGACGCAAAGTTTGTGTTGACGCCAGTGACGGCAACTGCAATGTTCCTCACTTTCCTGGTGAGCCGTCCTGAGCTTCTGATATGTACAATTTTTGTGTCCTCAAAATCACCTGTCTGTTGACCGCGCTTCGTTTTCGAAATGCTGTCAGCTTTCCTTTCCAGAGTCCTTTTTCCAGTGTCGAAGTTGATTGCACGGGAGTCAAATTTCTTTGAGGAACTTCAAGCAGACCTCAAACATCATCATGTTGTGATATCCTGCCTCCTATACGAACTAGCAGTGGCGCAAACAACCAAACTCTCACTCTGCAGTGTGGCCTCTTAGCCAACGCCGGAGGCGTCGGCGGTGGTCCCCTGTACATTCCCATCATCCACGTGTTGCTCGGCTTCAACCTGAAGACCTCTGCGGCGTTGTCTATCACCGTCGTTTCGAGCGGGGCTCTCGCAAGCACGCTCTACGGGTTGCGGAAAACAAGCCCCCGAGACCCGAACCGTACCCTCGTGGACTTCGACCTTGCATTGACATTCATTCCCGCTTTCCTATTGGGGGTGGACTTCGGTGAGCTCTTCTCTCACTGCGTAAAGTGTTTCTTCTCACCTCAGGCTGAAGCCTCATCAAACGAAGTTTGATGCACAATACAACTTGCATACATACGTTTTCGACCTTAGATGCGTCATCAGAACACACCACATGGGTACTTGCCAGGAGCTTTGCTTCAAAACAAGATGCTGCACTTGTAAGTAAGGTGCTGTCATGCCTCGGATCTGATTCGTTCCTGTTGCTGAAACCGTTTCAGGAGCCTGGTTTCTGTTCCAATCAATCATGTTAGCTGGCGTCTTGTCCCGACTAAAAGTTCGTTGGCGTTTCCGACCAATCAACTAATTCGTGTGCCAGGACAAGCAATGACATCCGAAGTCTTATATCAACTTCAAGACCTCGAGAGTTCCGGACAATCGGCGCTCGGTACTACCACAGGTCCACAGAATCTTACTGTGCTCGTCACTTGCAACCACTGCTGTGCGCTTTCAACAGAATCGGCCGGCCCGTCAGATCATGCAAGGAGACAAAGCTTGTGGTCACGAACTCTTTTTGAATCTCTCTAGAGGAGTCTTGAACACCAGCCCACTTCTTTCGAATCTGCCGTTTCTGATCTTCCAGTCGCTGCTGAGCCTCTTTCTCATCACAGCTAAAACAAGTTCACTGTCAAGCGTCGCCGGACAACTGCCCCTTTCTTAGCTTAAAAGGGTCTTTCACCTCAAGAGTTTTGAGCGGACAATAGGGGTCCTCTTCAACGTGCTGATTCCGAAGGGAATTCACGCCGCTCTCCTCGTCTTCCTTTTTCTACTTCCCTCTATGATCAGAATGGCCTCCCCATTCTTGCAGGGCAGAGTCCACTCCTTTCCCTTTCCGGCAGGGATCTAATGACCCTTCTGTTTTCTGCTATTGCAGGTGTTCTCTTCAACGTGCTGATTTCGAAGTGGTCCAAACCGCCCTGCTCGTCTCTTTCCTCCATTTCTTTCTGATCGTCCAGTCGCTTTCCAGACTACCTGTTAAAAAGATGTTCAGTGTCCTACATTTCCCGCCTGTTCTGCAGGGGTTCTCTCCAACGTGCTTATCCCGGAGTGGCTTCAGACTGCCCTCCTCCTCGTTTTCTTTCTCCACTCCGCTCTATTTCTCTTGCTCTCCTATTTGCGCGGAAAAAACACTTGTTAGAGGTTCCTGTCAGACGTGAAGCAAACCTTTGAATCTGTGTTCACAGGGATTGTTGGCCCGTAACCATGGCTGGTTATGGGCTGGTTAGAAAAGGGTTATTTGTCCAATAACCAGACTTGGGCGGTAACCAGCCTGAAAACAAGATTTCGGCCTGGTTATCCAATAACCGATAACCAAAATAGGTCCAATAACCTGAAGAATAGGTCTGGTAGAAGCCTGGTTAGCAACCAAAAGCTCCTGTGGTTCTATGCAGGTGTTCTCTTCAACGTGTTGATTCCGGAGTGGCTCCAAACCGCCCTCCTCGTGTTTCTCCTCTACTTCGTAATTCGCAACACCGCCAACAAAGCCCGCCAACAATGGCGGCTCGAACAGGCGACGCTAGCGCAACGGAGTCCCGTAACTCCGATTATTCCAGCACTCGCACACACGGGCGTCAATCAGCCGTTGCTTCCGCCGCCGCTCGAAATTCCGGAGACCGGAACGGAGTCCGCCGGAACCGGTCTGGATGAGGGGCAAGAATCCAGCAACGACCTTGAGAACAGTGGGGGTTCGGGAAACGGGTTTGGTTCCGAGAACGGGGTTAGCGGGCGTCCGAGGCAGAACCTCAGGCGGCGGAGCTTGCTTAACCTCTTCGAAAAGGAGGATTTCCCAGAGGGCATCTCGCACGAGGAGTTTTTCATAACCACCAAAGAGCTGATCAGTCCGAGGGGGGCCAAAATCGACCCTACTACGGGGGGGAGTTTCAGAGACCCGCGCCAGGGGGATCCCTCCGAGCGTCCGCAACGGAAAACCCTCCTGCAGCGGATTCCGTTCCTGCAGCTCGGCGCAATTCTGGTTCTGTGGGTCTTGTTCCTGGTTAGCCAGGGGCTCAAGGCGCGTTACAACCGTTGCACGTGGAAGTATCTGCTTATCTTGTCGGCGCAAGTGGTGGTTTTGTTAGCAGTAACCGGAGCACAGATTCTGTACCAGGTACACAGGGCGACGACGAACATCAAGGAACTGGATCCGGAAGTGCGCGTCATTTTGCTGCGCGAGAGCGTTCAGGAAGGTAATTGCGCGAGACGGGAAACCGCCAATTCTTCAACTCCAGCACTCACAACTGGTGAAAGCTCAGCAAAGGAGTTGAGAGATTATAGTCGCTATCACCAAGGGTTGAGTCGATGAAGCGTCCGTTCATTCGCACATCGTCCCGTTCTGGCAAAGCAAGGATTCCGCGTGCCGTCTCAGATTGGGTCCTGATGACAGCTCCGGTTGAGTCTGCAACAATTCCCTCGATTGAAAGTTGGACACAGTCAGGTGGCACGGACTGCGAGAGGCAATGGTAAAAGGCAGGCTGTCTGCCGCCGTTCTTTTCCCGTCAAATCTAGTTGTAAAACTGCTGTTCAATTGCTGAGAAGGTTCCGTGTCCTTTTGGTAAAAGAAAGATCTCATCCGCTTCGGAAGGGGAGTCCCGCCCCTGCGAGTAGTTTTTGGCAAAGTTTTATCCTGCGGCCTTCGAACTGAAGGCTCTGACTCTGCAGCCCTTACGAATACGAAGACTTTGACTCGTACGAGGTCATACCTCACTTCTCTCTCGTTGCACTTCTCGAGATGACGGTCCCGCTTTTCTTTCAGATCATTAGCGACATGCTAAACCTTGGTATATAAAGGCCAACTTCGCATCCCCCGTTAAGTCACAATTTATTTGCTTCGTTACACGACCCTTCCGTCCAACAGACACATTACTTTCTTTTCGCAGTCCTCGAGAGGCCGATCCGAGTGCTGGCTGAAGTGGCCGGTATCATTGCGCTGGCGGGCGTGGGCGCCGGTCTTCTTGGGCTCGGCGGAGCTATCTTCTTCAACCCCTGGCTCTTACACCTGGGCGTTCATCCGCAGGTAATACCTTGGGGTTTGTTGGTTGTTGCCCTTATTGGAAATTCTGTAGCTTGTAAAATCCACTGGTTTTTGGGTGCTAGCGTGGAGGCTTCTAGGGCTTGCCAGTGGAGGCGCTATCTTCTTTCACCCTCGGCTTTTAAACTTGGACGTTCATCCGCAGGTAAACTGTCGATTAGTTTTTCGAATCTGAATCAGGTTTTCAGGTTTTAGGCCAAGTGCTTTTGGAGCTGGGCGGTGCGGCGCTGGCGCTGAAGCTCACAAGCGGACTCCGCACAAAAGGAAGCTATGAGGCTTTCCAATCCGGATTGAGGTCATCATTTATTCACGTCCGTTTCGTTCATTGTCCCGCTCTCTGTTGCCTCTTTTTGCCAATGAGGAATAAGCTTTTTGTCTCTTCCCGGAACAATCCGTTGCCCCGTATCAGCACCGGAAAAAGGCCATTGATACGAGCTTGTGTCATTTGGACACTGAAGTCGACGCTTACATTTTCGCTTCTGGACATTGCCGGTGTTTGCAAATGGCGTTTCTCACCCCCGATTTCTTTGCAGGTGACCGTATCGACGGCCGTTCTCATGATCCTCTTCAGCAGCTCCGCGATTTCCCTCTCGCTCTCGTTCCAAAACCTGCTCAACCATCACTACGCCCTCGTCTTCGCGCCGATTGCCTTCGTTGCGTCGACGATTGGGGTTACTGTAGTCGGCCGCATTGTGCGCCAATCGGGAAGGACGTCGATTATCGTCATCATTCTGACGGTTCTTGTGGCGGCCGGCACGATAACGACGGCGATTTTTGGCGGCTTGCGATCGTACGAGCAGTTCGTAGAAGGGAAAGACGTCCGGTTCCATCCGCTCTGCACCAAGTAGAGCGCAGCAGCGGAGCGAGCGGAGCAGCGGCAGCGGAGCAGCGGAGCGAGCGAATTTGTGGACAAAGGCTTGCAGAAGGTTGATTAACATTATATGGGCGTCAAGAGATCTTGACTACGAGAGCGCCAGCCTAGCCGACCGTTAATAGTAGGCGCGGCCAAGCAGCGACCACGTTTTGTATTGCCATCTTGCCAGTGAGATTGACAGTCATACGTACTTATCTGGAAATCGTATCTTTCACCGTATCGAGCCTGGCGGCCGCTAGCTCCTGATTGATTGTCACTCAGCTGAGTCAGCATCACACTGTGTTGACTTGTAGTACAGACCGAGCTGCATACATGACTTGACATGTTGAAACGCCCGAGGCTTGTGCCGCAGGATTTGATTGCAAATTACGTCATCATGTTTGCAATTCAAACGTTTGACCCTGGCATCGACTCGAACATGCGTTGTCATGATTGGACCCCTCTATGATGATGGAGCCACTAGCTGCCGGCTTTCACGGAGTGTTAAAAGAGCGAAGGCGAGCTAGCCTGCATATGACTCCGACCCGAAGACACGCGCTAGCCTCGCTCCGATTCGGATCGAAGCACCGCGCTGAGTCACTGCCACTGAGCATGCATCATATGTTAGGCTGCTTGAATGCCAGGCTGGCCGCGCCGCCCGCGCCGCCCGCCCGCCCTATATAGCCGCGCAAGCCTGTAAGTCAATGATGGTGTTGCGCGGCCAGATATGATAACGTACGCCGGGTGACCAAGCTTAATTGCAGTGCTTCAATTGGAGACCCGTACCGTTTGACATCACTGAATACCGCCGCGCTGGCATGATAGTTTGGTACTCAAATATCCAGTCGAGGCCGGGCGTTTCAATCGACCACGTACAATCACTTTGAGGCCAGTTAGTACGGTTCGGTTGCCATGCAGCTACTTAATGAATAAAGTGACTGACATTGACTTCGGAAAGCTAGTAACGTTAACCAGTCCATCAAAGTCGGAAGTCTTTGCCATGCCACTTGAGTCAGGAAATGTTCCAAAGACCTCAATAAAACCTTCAAGGAAAGTGAGTCAAAGACCCTAGCGCACAAAATGTACTGTGACCTACTGTACTCTGCTTTAAGGTGTTTCGGCCCTCATGTTGGCAATGTATTCTTAAGGAATACCAATGGGCTCGGTGCGTGTAATGCTAGGCATAGCTTTGGCGGTTGCAAGGCCAGTCAACAGTGCCGTTATTGTCCGTACGTTCGGTTGTGGTTGCTACCTAGGGTCTGCATCTGGAAACGCTGTCACAGTGAAAACATAAATCACAACCCGGTTGGTCTATATACATCAGGTTCCGCTACAGCGGTGAGTCCGTCACACCACTTCTCGTATCCCCGCCCCGGATGCAATTAGGGTGGGTTCCTCGTCCGCGTCCATTGCTGGCCACTTCACTGCTTCCGAGTCCACCGGCTCAACTTTCTTCTCCGTTTTACCCTGGTCCTTCTTCACAACTTTCCCGCTTTCCGAAGGCTCATACGCCGCAGCCATTGCCTGCTCGTACAGAAACGGTATCGCCGGCTTTCTGCGGCTCACTGAGTCGGTCTCCGATTGACCCGCGCTCTCTTCCCCCTGCGCATACGCAACGAGCTTCGCCTTCTTTTCTTCCCGGGGCGACAACGCCTCCGTTCCCGTTGGGAGCGCGCGCGTCACCGCGGCCTTTCGCGGGCTCGGAAGCACCACGCTCGGGCCAGGGATCTCTAGGAACTCCATCGAACTGTCCGGCGTCGATTCACGGGGCGCTTCTTGCTCAGCCTCTAACGTGTGAACCCCGGGCATCGTCTCCTTTTCTTCCCCCGTCAGCCGCCACGTGTCGTCGTTTCGGAGGGCCACCTCGACGTGCTGCTTCCAATCGTATGCCCGCCGTCGGCTTGCAGACGGCTTCCCCAAGGGGCTCCTCTTTTCTCCGAGGCCTTTCTTCGGATGAGCGGCGACCTCCTGCCGCAGCTCCCCTCCTTTCTGGTCGCCGTAGTCGCCCACGCCGTGGCCCACCATCTCGGGGGCCAGTAGCTTCTCCCCTTTCTCCCCGGGGGATCCCTTTGCTGATCCCCACACGATGTCACCCGTCTTTTTCCGGCTCCGGGACTTGCTCTTTCCGGAGGTCGCTTTCACCACCCCCTCTTTTCGCCCCCACAGAGGCTCCAAGAAACCCCCCTGCTTCGACTTTTCCTTCTCGAGAGCTGCGACTATGTCTTCTTCCGGGACGGTCCCGAGGTTCCGGCTCTTCGACGCCGATAACGGGTTCAACGCGGGGGCGCCAGACCCGGCTGACGTGGCACCGCGGGGGGATCCCTTTCCTCCCGGCGATGGGGGGTTGAGGACTTCGTCGGAGGGCATGTATCTCAGAGGGAACTCGGCTTTCGCTGGAGGGGGGGAGAACAGTGGGGCACACTGTCAGCACGAGACTGGGGATACTGACGAGAGAAACGTCACGAATACGCAATACGCTTTTCCAGATTGATGTCGAAGCTACCAGATCCTTGCAAATGCGAACGAGGTGAGAAGTCAAAGGGAAAGCAAAGACAAAGTCCTTTGAAAGACTGGATTCACAGGCTTTTGCCGCCCTTCAATCGAGTTTCCTGCATTGGGGAGACCTTGCAGAAAAGGGTCGCTCTAGTCGCCTACCACGCCAGTTTCAACTTTCCTGGCGAAATTATATGGAACAATTCACAAATCGATAGAGACGGTCATCTCGAGGCGGCCCCTGCTATGCTCGGTTTGGCGAAAGCAGACACTCCTATGTAAGCTTACACGTATCTACAAGTTCGACAACAGGTCAAAGCTGCCAAAGTGAACCAGACCCCAAATGAAAAGTGGGATTGACGGCGCGTTCCTTGCTCTCTTGCTTTTGTTCAGGTTAAGCCCCGCTGCATCCCAGCCCCAACAACTACCCGCACCCAAACCGTCAAACTCTCACCTTGAGGTTTTGGGGATGGAAATTCTTCTGCCCCCATGTTCAATTGCAGCGGAACCCCCCGGAACGCTTTAATCGTCCGCACCGAGTTTGGGCTTCCCGACACTTGTAACCTCCCGTCCGCTTCCGCGGCCAGAGCCGCAACTCGCTTTCCCCCCGACGTAGCCGTACTGTCATCTTCCATCGCGTTTTGAACCGACCCCTTTCCGGCACCCCCCGTGAACGCGGAAAGACTGCCTCCGCTGGCGCTGTCGTCATCAAACGCGTTTTCCACCGACCCCTTTGGCCCGCGGGGGGGCGGCGCCGGGAGCGTCCCGACCCGCCACTGGAACAGGGGCGCGCTGTCGCCCGACGAGGAAACGTCGCCGGAGTTTGCGGTTGACTGCGAAACCTCGGGTGACGTGTTCTCAGCCGGAGTTTTGTTGGCGGTAACGGCGAGGATTTGGACGGCGGTGGGCGCCGTTCCGGACGGTGTGACCTGCACCGCTGGCTCGGACGTCCGAGGGCTTGGTTTGGGAGTGGTCTTTTCCACCACAAGCTCTGAGTTGCGCACTGGCCTTTGCGAACGGTTCTCGGACAGGGGGCTCCGGACCTCGTCATTCCGTTCGGCGGCTGACCCCTTTTGAGCCGACTCTGTTGAAGTAGCGGGTTTCGCGAACGACCCCAGCATGGGGCCGGCAGGAGGGGAGGCCACTTTCGGGTTTCTGTTAGCTTCTACCGAAACGTCGGTCAACCACGTCCTTTGCCTCGCAACCGGAGGCGGAGCTGCGACCCCTTCTGAACGAGACTGGCCGACCGAAGGATCCCTCACAGCCTCCGCCACTGACGTCACCTCTTGGGGAGGCTCCGTTACCGAAAGGGGGGACGAGGAGCCCGGAGACTTTGACCCCCAGAAGAACACCCCCCGCAGCCACTTTGACACAGGCTTCGGCGACCGAGGGGCAGAGGGATCCCCCGCCGCTGCGCCTTTCTTCCTCTTGACCGCCTTCCCTTGCTGCTCGACAGGCACTGGCTTCGGTTGGCCCGCAACAGCAGAGACCGCCTGAGGGAGTGCTTGTGTCCGATCCGTGCCCACCGCGGGCCGCTCTTGTATTGCCGCAACTGGATTGACGTCACTGGGCGCCTGGCTGACGTCACTCTTGTCCGTAACCGCCGCCGCACTACCGCTCCCCGCTTCCTGGCTCACGTCTCCAAGTAGCATTTCCTCTTTGACTGACTCTCTGTTCGGTCCCTCTAGACTTCTGCTGACCTTCTCCGCAACCTCGCCTTCGCTCTTGGGGGCGATAATCTGCTCCTTCTCCTCCCCCCCTGCCGCCAAGCTGTTTCCTACTGCCCCCGCTGTGGAACTTACCGGCAGAACCAGCGGTGCAACTTCCCCAAGTCTCGACTTTCCCGGAGACTGCCCAACTCGACCCTCTTCCGCTTTCTCAACGTTCGCCTCGACGGTCTCAACGTTCCCCTCGACGGTCTCAACGTTCGCCTCGACGGTCTCAATTTTCGCCTCCGACGTCTTCTCCCCGCTCTTTAGTTGCCCTCCAGGCCGACTTTCGCCGTCTTCGTTCGTTGGCAACACGCTGCGGGGGGTTACCTTGACAGGGCTTTCCTCCCCCCCTCCGAGATCTTCCAGTCGCGGAACGGAGCTGGCACTGGGCAGCGGTGAAGGGATGGCCAGTGGTTCGCCTGCAAAACGGAAAGGAGAGGCTGAGCGGGGTGGAATATCAGCAGGTTTACACGTGGCTGGGTTGAACTTAAAGGAAATGGTATCTAAAAAGTTTGGCTAAACGGAGACTAGGCGGGTTATTAATACACCTGATGAATGCTCAGCGAATCAAACTCGTTGCTTTACTGTAAATAAATATATACTAATGCTCGAAATGTACAGACGCTTTCTCGAAGTATTCAGTGTTGCTTCCCTCTTGCGATCAGAAAGCCTGACCCAAACTCTTGACAGAAGAACCGAGCAACCGAGAATGAGTTTGATTTGTTTCTTGTGGCCCAAAGGAAGCAGGATGACATAATTCTGAGATTCAAAAGCCTTCGACCCTACGACGCAACGCTTTCAGGAAGAGTGAGGATCAACAGGCACAAACTGTGTACTCGACCGGACAATGACTTTTCAGAAGGCAAGGTCCCAGTCTAAAATAAGTATGACAAGGTTCATGTGCTCACCTGACTCGTCCAAGTCAGCATTAGGCTCCGCCTGTCCCGCGCTGCCACCTGTCCTTTCTACAGCCTCGCCGGCATCGACAGGTGCGAGTCCCGAGTCCTTTGAAGCCGCTCCTTCCTCGCTCTCTGCCTTCGCCTCCAGAGCACCAGCTGTCAGTACGCCTGCCGTCGCCACTGCGCCAGCTGTCAGCACCCCTGCCGCCGCCGCGCCAGCTGTCAGCACGCCCGCCGCTGCTGCGCCAGCTGTCAGCCCTCCAGCCACCGCTGCACCAGACGTCAGCACGGCTGTCGCCGCCTCGCCAGCTGTCAAGGCCCCCACACCTGGCGTTTCCGCAACCATCGCAGGCTCTTCCGTTTGCACCGGCCCAGTCACCCCCACACCTGGCGTTTCCGCAATCCTTGCAGGCTCTTCCGATTGCACCGGCCCAGTCAAAGGGGACTCCTCAGATTCCGCGCCCTCCACGTTCGCACTGCCAGCTGGCGTGCTGCCACTTTCGTACTGTGCCCGTTCGGCGGCTGTTGGCAGACCGCTCGGAAGGTTCAACTTCCAAGCCGTGTCGCTCGCGCCCTCCTCTTTCCCGGGGCTGAGGGAGCTCGGCCTTGGGGCCCCTTTCTGCGACGCGCCAGCCGGCTTCGCCACTCTCTTTGACGCAGGTGACAGGGGCGGTTTCTTTGCGCTGATCTGGCGGGGGGAGAAGTACCCGGCTGCAAACGACACCGTAGGAGCCGGGCTGACGTCACGCCCAGGGGTGGGCGGCACCTTGCTGACGTCGGATCCAAACCCCATGGTCTTCTCTTCTGCCAGTGCAGCTTTGGAAAGGCCGCCGCTGCTCGGAGAAGGATCCTCAGCCCCTTTTCCGATCAGCGACCGGGCCAGTCCTGCGGTGCCAGGTGGCGCGAACCTCTCACTGCTGACGTCAGCGGGTGGACCAGCGGATGTGGCGGGAATCTCAATTGTTGGGATCAGCAGATCAAGGCCTCTGCCCCTTCGCTCAATCGTCCCGTCCTCCAGATCCCTCGAAAAGTCGGGATTTGCGCCGCTGGTTGCGGTAGGGTTTTGGGAAGATAGCAGGATAAGCGGCGGGAGGCGTGGGGTTTGAGTTTGGGTTTGGGTTTGGTTCAAGGCCGGGGTCAGGGATTGGGTTTGAGTTCGGGAAGTGGTTGGGGTTGGAGGGGCCAGAGAGGGCGGTATTGGTCTGAAAACGAGCGCCGGTTCGCTTGGCGGGGGAGATTTATCTTTCTTCTTGCGTCGGAAGAGGTCCTTTAGGAACTGGCGCTTCTTGTGTGTTCGAGCAGGTTTCTCCGGCTTCGACCCAGCTGCACAAGAATCAATAAAATCTCGTCAACGAATCGCTCGTAAAATATCAAGACTTTGACCAAGACCCGCAGAGAGCGAAGCAGAAATGAAGGGTCTTCTAGTTGTCCCATGCTTCCGAAGGTACAGCCGGGTTTCCGAGGTTTCTTCTCAGCTCTGCAAATCAACGCAGAACAGAATCCATCTCTGAACCCGTAAATGAGCGCTGACCAACAGGCTCTAAGAAAAGATAGTCAAGGAGTGGAAGACATTGCCAAATGCAAAAACTACAAGTCTTTCCTAGATTGCTTGCCTGAACGTCGGTCCCTCAACAATTGTTCCTCATGAGATGCAGTAAGTGAAGCTGTTGCATTGCATCACGGACGAACGTAGAGATAGACGAGCCCCCTGGTACGCAGAGAGTCGCAAGCTCACAACAGACAAAGCGCGGACTCGAGGGAAACCCGTGTTAACTCAAAATGAAAGATCGGAGCTCGGAGGTCACGTCTCAAAGCAGATCAGAAGGAAAGGAAAACAATACAAAACTCACTCGACGGCATTTCCTTTGGCAAAGTTTCCGCACGCGGCCCAACGGGCGCCCCCGGTGTCGTCCCCTGGTCTTCCCAAAGGCTCTCCTGAGGTTCCGGCACAGCTGACGTCGGCAAAGCGCGTCCGTTTTTGGACTCGCCCAGCGCCCGCTCGTTGGAGGCTAACCCAATGCTTACCCCCTGCTCGAACCCCTCGGTCTCATTTACTGGGCGCAGGGTTTGGGACGCAGGGTTCACGACCCCGCCTAAACCGGTTTGTACCCCCCGGTTAGCGCCCGTTTCGGCTACTGGCGCAGGCTTTGAGGAAGTGTCTAATCCCTTGGGTAACGACACGCTCCCGAACTTCGGCCCGGAGGACTGAAGTTCCTTCCACTCGCCGAGACTCCAGCTTCTTGTCTTGGAAGCCTGAAGTTCCTTCCACTCCTCGAGACTCCAGCTTCTTTTTTCGTTAGACTCGCCGTCGGACCTCCCCACAAGAGCCTTCTCGAACGACCGGCCATCAACCACCCCCCCGGAAGCCTCACGAAGCTCGCTCCCTGCCAAACGGAGCTGGGCCTCCAGCTTGCGCCGCCCGTCGATCTCACTGACGGGGGGTGTGGTGAACGGCCGGGTAAAAAGTTCGGGGCTCAGGCTCTCTCCGGGGCCTTCCGTTGGGGGAACGCGTGAGCTGCTGCGGGGGCGAGGGGGAAGCCCCGCCGCGGCAAGAGCAGCCTGCTCGGCGGCAGCCGCTTTGCGCTCCCTGATTAGCCTGGAAAACAATACAATCGTAAGCGGCAAAAACGGGTTTTGCAGAACTAGAGTTTCTGTACTTTGTCGTATCAACATGGTCAGGAGAACAGAACATGCTGGAAAAGGTAAGCAGCCGCTTTGCGCTCCCTGATTAGCCTAACACGCGATGCAAACGTAAGCGTGAAAATGGGTTTGATTATGCAAACGTCTTTCAATTGTGCGTGCTTGTCAAATCAAATTGGTCAATAGATCTGGATATGTTGGAAGGAGTGAGCAGCCGCTTTGCGCTCCCTGATTCTCTGGAAAGTGATGCAAACGTAAGCGCCAGAAGGGTTTAGAACTGTACAAACTGTGCTTCGAATAGTGTGTGTTTGTCGACCAAAATGGTCAGAAAAACAGAAGATATTTGAAGAAAGTAAGCAGCCGCTTTCCATAATTCTCGATTTCATGAAGGGTTAGCGCCATGAAGGGTAACAGCAACGTTTTACTGTTGGAAAACCGAATCAAGTGGACAGCAAGTCGAGGATTTCGTGGCTTAACATGCGCATCTCTGATCTGTTACACAAAAGGAGCCTATGCTTCCGCAAGCCTGGATGGTCTAGCAAGCTACAGCGCTTTACAGCAAAGCTCCAAGCAAACCTTGGTAAAGTGGTTCGAGGACCCTCACCTGGATCCTGCCATCTGAGTCCTCAAGAAGTTGCTCTCTTCTTCCTCCCAAGAGCTCAGCACGTTCTTGATACTCGTGTCCTCTTTCTCCCCGCGCAGCTCAACAGGCGCGATCTGTGCTGCTCGCGGTTTGAAGCCTAAGCAAGGAGAGACGAGAACAGGCGTAAGACTCTCGTGCAACAGACTCGGTTGTGCGGTTATTAGATTCTCTGCTAAACGACGAAAACAATCAAACAAGACTTGCGCAGTTTACATGCAGAAGGAGCAAGCGACCAGCATCCAAAGAACCCGATCGCTGTCTCGTGGCATTACGAGCCTGCAACCAAATTGGCTTCTGCTGCAACGTACTGGCAAAGTCCGTCATCTAACGAAAACCGGTAAGACCACAAAGGATCGTTGGAACGATTCGGAGCAACTGCGTGTGTTAAATGGTGACCTTGTGCTGACAAATCCTTCCAGAGAAGCAGCAAAGAACTCAGTCGAACAATCAAACCGGATCAGGGACCAAATAGCAAGAACACCCACTTCGACTCGAAAGGTTTGTCAGCCGCGTTCGGCGTCCGATTGTGGACGGCGTGCGGGGCACCTCGGAGGGGGTTCTCGAACGCCCGGGGGATGCGCTCGGGGAGACGATCTTGAGGCGAGGGGTCCTCGGTGATTGGCGGCCGGGACTAGCAGAACCTGAGATTGAAAAAGAAGAGGTTGCGAACAGGCAAAGAAAACGGTGTATAGGTGGTCAACGGCACTGTCGCAGGAACAGTGAAACGCTTAAAAGAGCTCGGGGAGGAAGTTTGCGAGGCGAGGGGTCCTCGCTTAGTGGGCGGGCTAGGTTGGCGGAATCTAAGATACAGGAAGAGGGACTGTGATGAATTCGGGCAGTGCAACGAAACAAGCGAGGAAGTAAGTAAGGAGATTGCGGTGAAACATTGCAGTCGCAGCATTTGAGAAGCTCGGGAAGAAGATCTTGAGGGGAGGGGTCCGCGACTCGAGGGCAGGGCCGGGAGAACCAAGAAGCAGGCGATGATGTAATGAAGCTACGGCGGAGTGATCAAAACGCTGGGCAAACTAACGGTTGACGATCAAGAAAATACAGTCCAACATTTTTGGAGCACATTGAGAACCGGTCTTCACGGGTTCTGAGCGATTTGTTGTTGCGGTCAAGAAAAGGTGGAACCGAGCGCAGGACTTTTGAGATCAAAAGTGAAATGCAGAGTCGTAGGATTTAGTAAGCAGGGGAAGGCGCTCGAGGAGGGAAACGTAAGGCGGTGTTGTCTTGGTGACTGGCGGCCAGGGCTGGCGAAAGTGACAAAGGATTCAGGATTCGGAAGCTCCGATAATACATTAGACAGACAAGACATCAAGACAAGACTGGTCCGACAACAGAGCTTCAGGGAAAAAGGGGCTCAGCAAAACGACCCTGAGGCGGAAGATCTTGCCTTTTAAGGGCCTAGGAAACAAAACCCTGGCGAGTATAGAAAAGTCAAGCTTCGCAGGCAGATCTCCAACATCGAAGAGTTAACGAAGAGGGAAGCACGGAGGGTGCCTGACGTGAGAGATTGAGATTGACCAACGAAGAGGTCCCAATCCTTTCATAATGAAATTCGGGCCGACTGGGTGATGGAGGAACGTGTTGCGCTTTGAAACAGCTCACCTTGCCTCCTTGTAAGTCCTCTCACTGGCGAATCCTCTGCGGGCCCAGACACCCTTCCCAAGGACTTCGCACTCCTGGCGCCGCCCTGCTTTTCGCCACCGAGGGGCTCCTCGATAAACCGGTGCCTCCGCGCCTTCGAATGCGGAGGTGGAGTCGCCGGTGCGACCGCCTCAATTTCCTCGATCTCGTTTCCTGGGCTCGCAGCGGTAACAGGGGCTTCAATCACTTTGCTGGTTACTGAGGGGCTGTCATGTGGGTTAGTGGAGGGTTTGACGGCCGTGGTTTGCGAAACGGAACCCGCGGAGACAGGCGCGGAGGATTGGGCCAAGGCCTCTTCCTGAATGAGCACCGCTTGCGCGCTTGAGACCCCCGTGTTCTCCGAAGTGGCCTCCGCCGCTGGCAGGACTTTTGGCCCCGACGGTCTCGATATTGAGGGGTTCAACTCCGTGGTTTCCGTGGTGTTACCCGCTAACCCAATCGCCCCTCCCTCACTGGCCTTGAGCTTCTTCTTGGCATGGCGCGGCTTCGGGCTCTCATTTGCAGCCCTTCCTGTCGACTGCAGATCCTTCCCAAGCTCGGAGTCCGGTGCAGCAAGTTTCAAGGCCCTGTTTGGAGACCCGTCGCTTAGCGCAAGTCCCTGTGCCGGCGCATCCGCAGGCGGCCGCAGGGCCTCCGCTGCCCCCACGCTCGCAGCGATCGGAATCAGCAACGGAACAGCGGAAACGAGACCCCCTTTTGTCGGTGGAGACGCCTGCTTTCCTGGAGCCTCAAAATCCGCCATGGATGGCCCTGTTTTGGTTCCAGTGGGGTCCGAAACACTCTCGAGAGTGACGCTTTCATGTGACACAGGGCCTTCCGGCCCGACAACCCCAGGAGGCACACTCCCCGTAACCGGAAGCCCGCGCGGTTGTGTTGTAACGTCTACCGCTTGGGGAGCCTCGGTTGGCAAGCCCGAAGCGGGGGCTTCGATATCTCCTCCCGAGGCAACGTCTGCCACGTCGCTCTTCTCCAGTTGGTCCCTTCCCACGAGCCTGCCACCGTCCCTCTCGGCCGAGGGCTCGCCACCCGTCTGCACAAGACCCACCTCAAGGAAGTCGCCCGTTTCGGTGGGGATTGTTGACGGCAAAGCAGCTAAGCCTCCCGGAGGCGTGTCCCCAGAGTCGACGGCAGTAACACCAGCCGGCCCCCCGAGCTTCGAAACGGGGCCGACGTCGAGCCGATCACCGCTCACACTTTTGGTAACGTTCTGTGTACTTGCCCCGCCGCTGGCCGCTGGGCTTTCCGCTGCGCCCACGGTTGCGCCGGTCTCCAAAAGCGGGGCCAGCGGAAAAGCAGGCGCCAAGGCCAGTCCCTCCCTGCGTCGGGGCATTGGCACCCCCGCCGCTTCTTCCTCCTCTCCTGGGCGAATCTTTCCTGACACTCCTTCCTGCGCTGAACCCCCGGGCGCGATCGGGACAATCACGTCAGCTTCCCCACTCGCTGCTTTGACCGGCTCCGGGCCCTCTTTGCCTTGACCTGCGTTTACCGCCGTAGCGTCTACCCCGCGCCCTGACATCTGCGCTGCAGACCCAGCTCCCAGTCCCGCGGCTCCCTCGGCCAGAACCGGACCACTTGTCTTTGACGCCGGCACGTCGTTTCCTTCCCGAACGACTGACCTTTCACTTTCCTGTATCAACTCTTCAGCCCCCGCCGCAGACGCTGCCTCAGCTTCGATTTCTTTCACCTCCGCCGCTGCGCTCGCTCCGCTTTCCACCATCTCATTGCTCTCTTGTACTTCCATCCCCGCATTTTCTCGCTCACCACCGCCCAACGCCAGTTCCTTGTTACTGACGGTTCCTTCATCCATGTTTGGTGCATCGATTTCCGGCCCCTGAACCTTCTCAACTCCCTCCCTTACGACACCATCTCCCAGAACCTGGACCGTCTTTTCCCCCTCGACTGCGCCAACGTCCGCCTTCTCAAACTTCTCATTCCGCCCACTTTCTCGAGACAGCTCTTCTGGCTGAACCGTCGTCTTCGCAGTGCTGACGCCCGCAAGCCCTTCCCTCATCGGCGCGCTCCCTCCAATCCCGTCAAGCACACTCTTCCCCGCATCGACCTTAAGCTCTTCCTCCTTCTTGCCCCCCTCAACTCCCCTTAAAACCTCCTGCGGTTGCGCCGCTGCCTCTGCGCTTCTGGAGCTGGCAACTGTTCCGGCGAGTGGCACGCTGACAGGTGGCGACGCAGCCTTCGCTTCGTCGGAACTAGGCCATCCGAGGATTGCCGCCCAGCCTGAAGGAGCAACCGACCGGCTCTTTGGAACGGACGGAACCTCCTCAGGGCCCCCTCTCGACTCGCTTCCCTTTCCATCGGGCTCGGGACCCTTCCCGCTCACTGCCGCACTTTCCCTTGCATCAGGAACCGTCATTTCCCCAACAACGACCGACCTGGAAGCACCCTCCTTTTCTGGAACTGTTTGTACCACAGCCGCCCTTTCCTTACCCCCTGCACTCGGACTCTTCGTGGCCGCGAACGCCTCTCCAGACTTCGACCAGATCGACCCAGAGTCCGCTTTCGCTGCCGCCCCGGTAACCGAAGCCCGGTCGGCCGCAGATCTTGCCACGAGCAGCCCCGCCGCGCCGGCCCCCAGGCCCGTAGCCAACGCACCCCCCAAGACCGCCCCTGCTTTTCCATCTTCCGCTCGCCCCTTCGAGTCCTGTCGTCCTTCTTCGCTTTCCCAGGGATCTGCCAGCACCGTTGGAGTTTCGCGCCTAGCTTGCTCGGCGTCGCTCTCGACGGAGATTCCCCGCCTTCGCGAGTGCGGCTGCAGGGTTCCATACCCTGTCGACAGCGAATACGTCCGGTTCACTTCCGGAATGGGCGCTAACCTCCCTGCTGACCCCGTCCCTAACCCCGTCAATAACCCTGCACCTGTGAGGGCCGGAACCGCCGCACCCGTAGAAGACCTTGCCTCTGATTCGGTCGACAAGCGCTCGATCTCATGCAGGGTCTCTACGTCGCTGAAAGAAACCCTTTTCCGGCCCGCCGCCTTCCCACCCTCGCTCTCGTCTTCTCTTTCCGTTCCTGGCGAATCAGGCCCCACCAGACCATCGCTTGCGCTTCCGAGCGTTACACCCTCGGTGCTGCTTTCTCCCTCCTTTTCAGTAGTGACGCTCCTGGGCTTAAACACTTGCGCCACGGGTGCCTCTCTGGCAGTCTCTTTCTTGGGGGGCCCCGTTTTCAAACCGCTCTCGGACACCGCCAGCGCTTCGAAAGGCGGACCTTCCTTGTGGCCGCTGATTTGAGTTACCCCTGCGCCACTTCTTCCTTCCCCAGTTGCCCCGACCTCTCCCTCTTCGAGCTCCACAGACCCCGCTAAAGCGTTCAGACCTCGTCTCTCTTCTGTGCTTGCCCCGATGACTTCAACCCCAATCGCTGCAGCCCCTTCGATCATAGCCTCTCCGGACCCTTCCCAATTTTCCTCTAAAGCCAAAGGTCCCTCCGGCTGTTTCTTGATTCCAGCAACTAGGACTGGTTTCTCTCGCTTCCCCCCCACAAGCAGTTCCAATGTTCCGTCCTTATTCCCAAACAGCTCCGATCTTTCTTCCTCAGCGCCAGGCACCTCCGTCTTCCTTTCTCCTCCCTCGACCACCACAACGCCTTCGCCCCCCTTCTTCTTCTTTCCCTCAGCCGCATCCAGCGCCGCTTTAATATTTTCGACCTCCCGCCTCGCTCGCCCGATCTCTGCCTGCATTGCTGCGGACAGAACAACTGGCAGCTGGGCGACCCATTTCTTGTCTTCCTCAGCCCCAGAGGGTGCCAAGTCGGGTGCCAAGTCGGGCCCCCCAATGCCAGAGCCCGAACCAGGTGGCACCTCTTCCTTTTTGTTGAGCCCACCCGTTGCTATTTCGGTTGCCGAGGCCTCAACCCGAGCGAGAGGATCGTCCCTTTCTTCTGCCAACTGCTGACGTGCCACGCTGACGGGGCTCCCCTCTGTGGCCAGCCAAGCAGCTGCCTGGGCCTTTCCCTCCAGCTCCAACCGCTTCCCCGCTATCCCCGGCTGTTTCTCCTCCGTGTCGGACTGGTTTCCGTCCATGGAAGACAGCGCCTTGCTCGCCGAGGCCCCACCTTTTGCTGCATGAGCGGCTACCAGGGTTGCCGCGCCTGCTGATGCAGCCGCCGCTGCTGCTGACAGGGCCCTCGAGCCCTTGGGCGCGTCCTTGGATGTGGACGCTTGATCCTCCCCGACTTGGTCGTTGTCTGCGCCAACAAAGATCAGGCATAAGATTGTTTATATTCAGAGTCTCAGAAATGCGGAGAAAGTTCTGGAAGGGGCGCAAGCACCTCGCTTTCTGCACGGTGAAAGGGAGGGCCATTGGCAATTCCTCGTTTCACAAGCTGAGGAGAGACAAATCTACGCTATTGACACGATACAGGTTAAGAGACCCACTACTTGCACTGACCCTTCACTCCATCTATCGCATTCACTGCAGAAACACGCTGTTGTATTAAATTGCTGAAATAGCAGTTCTGACCCAATACGGCCAGGGTCGCAAGAGTCTCGAGTTCTAGTGCGCACATCATCCAGCTTTTGCTGTGTTACCTTTCTCTGCTCTTTGAATTCTAGTCTTGGCAAAAGGAGAAAAAGGAGAAGTCACTCAACTTTCAGGGGCTAAGCAATCAGTCAAAACAAACTAGATTTGGGTACAACCACCGCTTGTCAAAAGAAGCAACTCCCAATATATCTCACCAGCTTCTCGACCATTGAACGACGCCGCAGCCAACTTCCTCCGAGCCTCCCCCAGGTGGGCCTCCGCGATCTTGATGAGGTCACCCAAATCCTCACTCGTTGCCGGCACCTTCGGCAGCTGTCCTTCGGACGTGCTGACGACTCCACTAGAATCCGGGGATTGCTCCCGGGCTGCGCCGGGAGGAGTCCTGAAGCCCTCCGGCGTGGTTGGTAGTTGGGCCCCGGGCTCTGAAACAGGGGCTTGGGAAACCACTGGTTGCTCCGGGGCAGGTACTGGTGGAACCGGGCCCTCGGCAGGGGTGGCCGGGGGTTCCTCCCGGGCAGGCTTTACAGGGCCCGCTGGGTCGGTCGGTGAAGGCACCCCGGGCGATGAGTGTGACACTCCGGCAGAACCAGGAGTCTTCGTGTCTGGCTGTGTCACTTCCAGGGGCGATTCAAGAGCGACCTGGGGGGTCGACTTCTCCTCGACTGGGGTGTTGGTTGTGCCTGGTGCATGCACCCCAAGGAAAGGTGCCGGGGCAAGAGAAGACGCCGGAGGAGTTGGGGAAAGGACCCCCTGGGCGGTCGAGATCGAGGACGGGCCAGGAGAAGGTGTTGCCTGGAGAAGACAAACCGTTTTAGCCATTTGTTCAGCTTCAAAGCCCCGATCAAATATTGGAGGCGGCTCCTTTTGAAGTGGTTCACAGTAGCAGATGAGAGTTGGGGATCTGCCAACTGGCAGCAATTTGATCAACGGCAAGAAGAGTGGCAAGAAGAGTGGCAAGCTCTTGATTGCCTTGCGAGAGCCGTTTGCTAGAGCACCACGTTACTCTTTACCGAGCACGAAGCCACAAACAAAGAAAGAAACAAGCACATAACATTCCGCCAGTACTCGAGGGGAAGGGATGATAAAAGGAAGTCAAAAGGTACAGGCCCAGGGGGTCAACGGCAAACAACACAAATTGCACTTACAGGTTGAGCACGCCCCTAAGTGAGCCGACAAAGAGGACCTGGGTATGCTACAGATCTGTTTATATTACATCTGGCCTGCATATCTTGTGCGAGCTTTCAAAACCAAGGTTCCCCTGAAGATTCGACCGGCGTCTTGAGTCTTGGATCACTCTATTTGCAGCCAATAAAAAGACAGCGTACTGTGTGCTGAGTACCAAGAAGAGAGTGTGCGTTCAACAGAGGAAAAGAACCCACCTCCAAAGCCGGCGCTCTCTTCGAAACGTCCCGCTCCTCGTTGTGCGGCTCAGCCATCTCCTCTTCTGCTCCATCCTGGAAGCTTCGGGTCTCCAAACCGGGTGCCAACTGGCTCCGTTCCGCTTCACCCGCTTCCCTTGCTGCTGAAGGAAGGGCTTCCATTCCCAGCTGGACAGCTGGCGCCTTGGTGGGCTGTTCGCCAGAGATCCCTCCCACACTTGACCTGCTGAAAGAAGCATCCGCAGGCGCAACCGCAGGGCTGGGGGGGCGTTTGGAGGTTCGTGGAGAGATGACGACGTCGGGGGGCGACTGATACGCCTCCAGGTTGATCCTCAGCTTCGCAAAACCCGCATCGAAGGACGACGGTTCGGGGGTTCCGACCCGCATTGGGGGGGTCGCGAATCCTGGGATGGGCACCCCCCCCGACTCTCTGGGGCTCTGCTTCGCCATCGCTTTCACCGCTCCAGGGGGGAAGCCCGACTGCTGAACCAGGGTTGTAGTAGGGGTGCTGGAGGGGGTGGGCGTGGAAAGCGCGCGCAAATCACCGTAGGGGGGTTCGGGGAAGGCTCTGCCGATACCCCCGAAACTGGCCGGGGTCGGTGTTGGGGTCCCTGTCTCGCTGAAGGGGGCTCCGCGAGGCGTGCCACTGACCCCACCAAAGCTGGCCGCATCATCACGGGGGGCGTTGCTGACCCCCCCGAAGCTGGCGAAAGGGGACGGTTCTGGGCTCTGCTCGCCCCAACGCCGAGGGATCTCTGGAGAGGGGGAGCGCTCAAGTTGAGGAAGCGGCCGCTCTGGTTTGGAGGCAGGTTCATCCACTGGACTCTCTGACCGTTGAGTTGTTATCGGATCCTGAGGTTTGCGCCCCACGTCTGCAGCAATGACGTCACCTACCAGATACCCTGGCTGCTTCGATTCGAAAGCACTAGCCCCGGTTTCCGCAACTCTGCCCGGCGCAGCAAGTAGGCCTGATCCGGCTTCTGGAGCCGCCAACCCACCAGGGAAGTCTGTGCCCTCCTGTCCAAAGCTTCTGGCGGCTTTCTCCTGGAGAAAGCCGCCAATCTCTAGAGCCGTCTCCCCGCGCCCGGGAGACTGGACAACCTCCATCGTCACCTCGTCATCATCCTCCAGATCCCCCCAGACCGCCGTCTTGCTGGCCGCAAACTCATCTCGCAGCCCCGGTTCGCGTAAAAGCTCCCCTTGTTCCACAACGACCGGGCGTCTGGCAGCCTCGCTCTTCGATTCTGCTGCACCAGCCGAGCCCGTGGCTTGCCCCGTTTCACCAAGCGGTTCGACGGAGGTTTCCGGCCTTTCCAAAGGCACTTCCGCACTTCGAGCAACGCCCCTTTCCCCCTGCGCACTCGGCGGCCAAGTTGGCTCTCCAAGCGAAGTCAGCTTCTGCGCTGCGGGCTCCTCCGACACCCCTGACACCGCCCCTCCCGCCGCTAGTTGCTCCAAAGCCCTGATTCGCGCTGACACGGACCCCCTAAGAATGGGGACCCCTCTCTCTTCCTTGAGTGCCACCTCGCCACCGGGAGGATCGACTGGCAGCTTTGGGTCGGCTCCCACCGGATCCACCAAAGCTCTACGATCTGCAGCCCCAGGGTTGAAGGCTGCCGAAACGGGTAGGTCCGGAGGTGCCACACTGAAGACTCTGGTGCTCTCAGCAGCCCTTTGGGGGATCCCTTCCTCAGCAATTCCCAGGGGACCCCATGCTGAAGGCTGAGAGTTGGGCGCCGACGACGAATCTTCCAAAACCCCGCTGGGAACTGTCGCCACATCTTCCTTGTTCTGCGCCGTCACATTACCAGTGACCCGCTGCTCAGAAGCCCCTGCGGCAGACTCACGCGCCTCGCCATCTGCCGCTCCCACTGGACCAGCTCTCGGCTGCGCCGCTTCCGTTTCCGCTGATGTCTCCTCAACACCAGGTGCACTCAGCCCCTCCGTTTGCGCCGTCCCTTCTTCATCCACAGCGTTAGCACGCTCAACGTCGTTTGCTGCCTGGTGGCCTACTTCCCCGCCCCTTGCAACTGGCATCTCAGGTCCGAGCTCTTTTCCCGAGACTCCCCGTCTGACAGCCTCACCCTCGGACGATTCCACCGCGCCGAGCTCCGCCCCCGCTTTCCCCGTGACTGCTTCAGGTCTCTCTGTCCCATGCTTGGCTGCTGCTCCTCCTGCCGTTTGCCCAACGACCGGCACCTCCACAGCTCGCTTCTGCTCGAGGGACTTGACCTCTGCTTTTTCGGCACCCCTCTCATCCGGCATCCCCAGGGCTCGCTCCTGCTTCACAGATTCGACTTCCGCTTCCTCTCCCGCTGCTGAAGGTCCCAAAGAACTTGCCCGCTGAGAAGACGAATCCCCGAACCCCTCCCCAGACTCCGTCCACCCAGGCGGAGGCTCCTCCTCTTTCACAGAGCCAGCCCACGAGACGTCATCGGATTCGTCTCGCTCTAGTTGCCCCGGCTGTGCCTCCTGCGCCCCTGCTGCTGCCTTTGACACTCGCTGCGCGTCCAGACCCGGGGCTGCCCTCTCCTCCCTTGATGGTGTCGGCTCTCCCTTGGCCCCCTTGCGCCCGAAGAGCGACTTGAACCGCTTCCACTGGCTGGACTTCGACTTTTTTGACGTCCCTGAGCCTGCTTCGCTGGCTTCGTCACCCTTAGAGCGTCCAGCGGTTGCTGCCACTCCGACCCCGGCTCCCGCTGCACCCACCGCTGCAACCGTCTGAAGCACCGTCGGTCCAACCGCAGCCGCTTCGGGGGCCCTGCTACTGGAGACCTATAACGAAGAGGTAACGAGGTCGAAAATAAGTTCCGTTTCTATTGGACATCCTACTTCAACCGACAACTGCTTTGCCGCAGAACAGAGGCTTGTGGAACACAATCTGCAGCTAATAAGGGCTGAGTGGCTTCAGTAAGAAGGCAGGTCTTGTCAGTCCATCATCCACCATAATGTTCCGATTCAGATCAAAATGTGGAAAATTTGCAGCAAAACAGAACCGAAATGGTTTCCCACACAAACCGGATAGACATATCGTTGATATCCTGTTGCGTCTTGGGTTCTCCATCTCTGTGGACTGTTTGGTCTTCATTGGTCAAAGCTAAGCAGTCACGCATGTAACATCAAAGGACTTTTCTAAAAGGCAATTTCTGGTGATCAAGATGAATGCAAACAAGTAGCACACTGTGGCTCACCTTCTCTTTCACGGGCTCTTTCTGCTCCGGAATCGCTTCGCCTCCCCCCGTCCGATCAGTCACCGCTCCTATTCCGGGGACTGCTGACAGCGAGGCAGAGGCCGCTGTTTCTGGGGTTAGCAGAGGGTTAGTGGGCGGGTTTGGACCTGGTAGCGACTTCCCTCCTGCAGCCCCCTCTGTGACCCCCGCCTCTGCTCCTTCCCTCACAACGCTGGGCTCCGACTTTCCAAGCTTGAGCACCTGCGGGACCGGCTCCGCAAAGTTCTTCGCCCCTAGTTCGCTGCCGGGCTTCTCTGAGGCTGGTTTGCTGGCAATTGCTGTTGTCGAGTTGCCCGCACCGAGTTCCTTGCCCTCCAACATTTCCAGTGTCGCAACTCCCGGGCCTGGTTTGTTGCTCTCCACAGTCTCGGCGGCAGAATCCCCTGCTCCTCGTCCCCCCGTAGAAAAACCGGTCGCCTCTTTCCCTGCGTGCTTTAAATCCCCGATAGCAGAGTCGCCGGTGCCTACTTCCGTTTGCCTAACAACTTTGCTGGAGGGAGCAATGGCAACCCCATCTTCAGCCACCCGCTTCGCCACAACGACTCCAACAGGTCCAGGCCCAGTTTCTGGAGTAGCCCTCCCCTCCACGTTCGAAGCAAGGCCTTCTGACCTTCCCTCCGAAGCAACGCCCTTCGAACCCCCTTCCGAAACGAACGCTTCTGGGCCTCCCGCAGGAGGAACGGCTCTTGGAACCCCCTCTTGGACAACAACCGTCTGGTCTTGGCCGACTCCCTCCGCCCACCCCGTGACAGGGGGCTCGGTAGCCGCCAGGCTGCCTGGCGCGCTTGGCCCCCCCGCGGTGTGAACTCCTTCCAACATGCCAGCACCTGCACCCTTCACTTCTGGAGGAATATTTACACTACGTGCCCCAGCACCTGCAAGCCGAAGTTCCGGTGCCTCTCCAGCGATGTCCGCAGGGTCCACAGACTCGGCCAGATCCTCTGAGCGGGTCCCCGTGAAATCTCTTCCCCCCGCCAATGCTTGGGCAACTGTTCCCGAGCTACCGGGCGGCTCCATCCCTTGGCTCCGGAAGAAGGCAGTGTTAACAGGCCCCAGGGACGCACTCAGACGTCCTCGGTTCTCAGCAGGGCTCTTGACACCGCCGCTTGCCTCCTCAGACGCACCCTGCCCCTCTGTCTCGACCGCAAGGAGGCGGGGTGTTGTTAACTCTCCTGGCGCGTGCACTTCCATCTCCTCATCAACAGAAGCAAGCGCGCTGGAGGATCCCCAGGGGTCAAAAGGCTCATCCACGTCTAGTTCGCTTGAGGGGGGGCTTTCAGGAGCACTGGCTGGCCTTAGTTGACGGTCGCTGGAGACTTCCACGGCTGGGCCGTTTGGACTCGGGGTGGTGTTAACGGGCCTAAGAGGTGCGATTGTAACGGGTGGATACGTCTGCTGACCCGTACTCGCCGTCTCTACAAATCGTAGTTCTCTGGACACACCTGGAGGTTGCATCCCCTGGCTCGCAAAGAATGCGGTGTTGACCGGCCCCAAGCGAGTGCCTAAGCTCTGCCCATCCTGCCTGACGCTGCGAGATGTTTCTGTGGGGCCTGTGGACTGGTTTAGGGAGGTTGGTGTTAAGTCGCTGGGAGCGCTGCTTGGGGGCCGTCCGGAGACCATCATCTTGACGTCCTCTTGAGAAGAGAAGGAGGCTCTTGGTGCAGCAGACGGGAAGCGGGGTGCTGGGGATTCAAGGCGGGGGGCTGCTAGGCGGGCCTTTACTTTCGCTGCAGATAAAAGACGGGCGATCAGAAGAAGGTAAGATGCGAAAGTTGGATTATCAGGCATCTTTGATCATGGGAGCCCTTGGAAGGATCAGAGGCTGGCAAAGCAACATGACAAGGCAAGAGAGCTCCCGCACTGTACGCCGGAAGCCAGCACGGCTTCCAAAAACTCATGACAAGAAAGAATGACGCCAAACAACGAGACTCTAAAACCTGATCCGTGGAAACAAAAGCAAGAAACCTGAGGTCAAGGCAAATCCATTCTTTCGAAACCGTCATACACGACCTAGGCTTTTCTTGACCACCGACAACATCCTGACCACCGAAAGCAAAGGACCAAAACTTTACTGAACCATAAAACAATGCGCAGCTCAAGTTCATAACCTGGAAACCAGGCATCTCACCTCCCACCGAGGCCCCCGCATCATCTGCGCTGTCGTTGATGCCCAGTGAAAAGTACCCCGCGGTCCCAGCAGCTCTCCTCGCAGCCTCGTCGATGCCGGGCGACTTCGCTTCTGCCGCTGAAGTAGTCTCCGACTTCCCGCTGTCATTGATCCCCAAAGAAACATATTCCCCCGCCTCGGCGCCGCCTTCAAAGCTGAGCGCCTCGCCCACAGCCTTGGCAGCAAAAGCTGCCCCGGTCGTCCTTTGCACCCCCCCCGACCGGGTTGCGCCCCCTGCGGCTTTCGGAAGCCCAATTTCCGAGCTGAGCGACTCCTCCGGAACCAGTCTTCCGCGCAGGCTTCCCGCACTAGGTTCTGAGTCCAGGGGCTGGGTTTGTGGGCCAGCAACACTTTCTGCGGACGGCTCAGAGTGGGGTCCCAGCTCCTGAGATGTGTTGGGGCTTGCAGGGTTGGAACTGCAAGTACGAGGAGAAAGAAGGGTCAATGAATCATGGTTGTCTTGGATCAGGGCCCTCCAAGGGGGGGTAAGTTCGAGTCCTCAAGAAGGAACATATCAGGCAGCCTGCTGATGACATGGCATGCCAATCCCATGTGCCAGCGTCCAAAAGTCTTGGGTTTCAGAAGGCCGTTTCTTGGACTATTGACGTTGTTCTTCGAAGCTACCAGCCAATTCGGGTGAGCCAGCCCTTTGATCAACAATTGGACTTACTTCAAAAGCCTGGTCTTCGAAAATGTTACCTTTCCATTTTGAAAAGGCGTACATGAAGAGCTCTTCAAGGTCAGGTGCAGCCTCTCAACCATCTGCCCTACAGTACCACCTCACTGGTACTTCACAAAAGAAGCACGGCTATATCGCTTCACTTTGCGCGTTCAGACACTCACCCTTCCTGCGAGCGCCTCCGCCCAAAGGGCCACCATCCAAATGCAGGTCGCGGCTCCTCCTTGCGCGGCTCCGGCTTCGTCTCGTCATGAATGATGACCTCATCTTCCTCGTCCAGCATTCCAGCCTCCCCCATCCACATCATCACCTCCCTCGAACTAGACCGGCCCCCAATCGAAGACGACCGAACTGACGGAGACACCCCCTCGTGAGCCCCCCACTTGCGGACAAATGTGTAATCCTCCTCCTCGTTTGCAAGTGGGTCCAATCCCGCCAGGGGGCCAGAATACCTGCGAGGGGACCCCACCGAAACTGTGCGGCGGAAGTCTGGAGAGGATGCGCTTCCCACAAGGGCTCCGGCTGGGGGGGATCCCCCCTCCTCCGGCGGTCTCAGACCCTCCGCTTTGATGAACCCCGAGAGGTCCTGTGAGCGCAGCGTCGAGTCAAGGGATCCCCTCCGGAAGAGCATGTCAAACGCGGGCCGCGCGGAAAAGAACCGCTCCAGCCCCGCCGGCGCGGGCTTCTCTTCCGGGGGGACCGGACTGGCTGTGATCTCCGGGGGCGGAAAGTCAGGCTGGTAGGTGAACCCTTCCAGGTTCTGCCGGTCGGGTGAGGCATAGCCCTCACGGCTCGGCGTCGCTCCGAAGGCCTCCCCAACAGAGGCAAAACTAGACTCGCGGCTGAGCCTGTCCCCCGCGGACTTGAACGATGATTCCCTTTCGAGTTGGCCCCCGGGGGGGTCCATCGGGAGAATCAGAAGTATCTACTTGGCTATGAGTGACCTGCAAAGGGGGTGGCGCACATGTTACGTCAGGTGGTGTAATGTTTTGGAAAGGGGATGATTCATATCTTGACAATCTTGACTTAGATAGCTTGTACGGTGGGTAGCGGGGACAACTGCGTTGCCCATGCAAACATCCGGCCAGTGTTTGTATCAAGTGCAGGTGTTAAGAGTTTTCCAAAAAGCGCCGCGGATTGGAGGAGTCTCCCATAATGCAAAAACGCCACATACCTGTGGCCACTCAGGCGCTCAGTAAATGGAAGATCTTGGGTTGTCGATGGCCTCTTGGATCTAACTTCTAAGTTCCAAGTCCTCAATCTCAACCCACTTATATCAAGAGTATCAGAAAACCTCCGCCGCAAGCTTCAATATGCTCAGCAACAATAGCGATGAAGATTCAATTGCAACGGATTGAATGGCAGACCACTTCCCAAGTTTGCTTGATGCTGATTGAACCCAACATGGTCCAGGATGAAGGCTGCTGAAGGCATTTGGCCCGGTAGTGGTAGTTTGGAGGGCACAATTTGATACTCTCTTTGAGGGTGCAACAAGAAAAGTTTGCTTGCAGGGAACTCATGCATCTCAAATCCCCACGTCCTGGAATACCCGCGCAGTTATTTCAGTGACGCGGCACAAAATTCCAGAATACCTGCTAAATACGTGAACATGCTTGTGTCACAGCCATCTTCTAAGTTTTATGATTGAAAGGGAGCACATACGTCTGCATTTTCAGAGATGATGAACCAAACAACGGGAGCAAATGGGAGCTTACCTTTCACCTGCAAGCAGGCATACTTAGGCTCCTCCTAGCAGTCCATCGCGGGCAGGCTGATAGTCAACCCTGGGAGATAAAACACAGGAAGGGTCACAAAGAGCTGTCGCAATCTATCCATTTTCAAAATAATAATGCCTGTGGCAAAAGGAGGAAAGGGAAGGCAAGACCATGTGCTTCATCAAGTTGCAGTCTGGACTCTGCAGGACAGCAGAGTCTGAGCCCAACCACGCTAAGTAGTCAACGTGCAGAGACCGAGACTTTTCCTTTAGCTGGTAGTTCTCAAACCATGGGAAAGCAGATGTTTCGTATCTGACGCCCTGCGTTGTCTGCAGACCAGAGCTGCATACAAGCGCTGCAATCTCTTTTAGCCAAGCAGCCATAACAACAAGCAAGCTTTTACCATAAACATGCAGCCTGCATTGACGTGCACATGGCAAGCTTGCGAAGCTACTCTGCAAGCAAAGCGGCCATTAGAAGAAACAAGCATCCACGTTCTGACCTCCGAGATGCAAAGACCTGCCTGAGTACCACTCTGCAGTAAAGCACTGGTGCCGACAAAGGTGAGAAGACAGGATGGAAAAAGGTGTAACCTTTGTATCTAAACGCTCTTTTTTGGCCCTGTTCAACCACTAATGGAACAATGGATTTGGATGAGAAGATGCTCATCATTGATCTAAGCTGCTATAAAGAGCTCTGAGTCATACAAGCTGAGTCATTCTTTGGTAGTTTAATGCTTGTCAGGCGTAAGTTGTAGCAGTGCTACAAAATCTGAATTTGATTTAAGAAGCGAGCAATGCAAAAGACCAGGTGAGACCGGAAGACATTACGAAAGCTTCCTACGGGCTAAAGGACAAAGAGAATGCAATGTCATTGAAGCTGCTAGAATGCCAGACTCTCCAATGAAAACAAGAGACCAGGATAGAAGCCTCGACGCCTTTGCTGAGTGCTTTTCAAGCAACTGAGATAACAATTTTGCCGATATTCGCTGAGGTTTTGTGACCACACTCATAACCACCGGCGGTAGAGACCACAGTGCCCTTCCCAAAACAGGTGTGCATTACACATCAGCACTATCCATTTCTGAATTTCTTGAACCATCAAGATGGAATGTACCAAAAGAAAATGCAAGGACTCTTCCCAAGGATGGCTAGCTCACGCTGTTCCAGTTTGAATGTCAGCGCTTGAACGACAGTCCGGAGACTTTGGAAGCTCGATTTCGTGCTGTACTCAAGCCCTGCACACGATGTGGCCCTGGTTTTTTGATTTCAATATCCTCTTTGCTCTACGTGACAACAGCTCCATTTCAAAGGGTCCAAGAGTTGCGGGAGGGCGATGCATACACCAATGTGGGTGCAGGTGAGCTTTGCCAATGCAGCACCGTGTCCTACTCGGACAAGGTGACAGGGCCTTGCATTCTCCCTGCTTTGGGTACGGTATGCCAAAGGCCAGCTGCAACTTTAGCCTGCTCAGTCGACTGGAGTCTGGAGAGCTTGCAAAGAAGCCGCCGGCGCCATAGCGCCCATATGATGCACAGATTTGAAGTCCGAGGGAAATTCCGGCGACAATCAGAACTCTAGCTTAGCATATGTGGTCGCTCAAAGATTGACAAAAGACACGCTTTCTTGGCCACCACGCCGCTTCTGACCACCGTGGTCCGTTTAATGGTCAAGGCTAGTCCGAAGAGGATGAGGACATTCTTGTCGCCAGGGTTTATAATGCCACCTGACTGAGGCTGAGGCCAGGGCCAGGCCCGGGGCCTGCTCCCCGTTTTCACTCACAACCGGTGCAGTCCTTTCCTCTGAAAGCTGATCCTCTACCGGTTTCCCACATGGTAACCCAGTAGAAGTAACTGGTTACTGAAACCCGGCTCAAATCACTGTAAAAATGTCTGACCGTCCAATTCGTATAAGTGAACTTGAACCTTTGGATCATCAGTGCGAACTTGTCATCGCGTGCTGGAGTCTGGAGAGAATGTACTGACTCGCTCTAGTTCGAGCTCTCAGGTCTTCCGCAGGGAATGACAAACATCGATTGCAGGACTCAGGACCTGTGTCAGGTGTCAGGAGGGAGAGGCTGGAGGGAGAAGCTGGAGTGGAGAGAGAGGCAAAGGTGGCGACAAACAAGAAGAAATTGTTGTCTTCATGTGAAGTGATTCTTCCCTGTAGACGCTTGGTAGTAAAGCCTAAGGCGCAGTGCCGCGCTTCTTGAAACCTTTCCCCTTGGAAAAGGACCTGAAGAACAACAGTGTAGACATTGGGTTGACATTGGCAGCACATTGTTTAGTGAAGGCCTTGCAATGTTGGTCTACAAAATGCAGGTTGTGCTACATCTAGCAATGAGCAGCCTTTAGCATATGTCAAGTAGACTTCTGCGTCAATGATTTTTGGCATTCATTGCAAAAAGGGTGTGCAGAAGGCAGGCCCTGCACCTGCCACCTAGAAGCCAGCATTGACCAACCTCCAACAATCTGTGTGCAACCAGCTTTTGCTGCATTGTGCTGCAATCTGAGGTCCCAGCTATGTCTGCGGCTAAAGCCGCAGTCCAGGCATGCCGAGTGGGAATCAATCCTTTTGGTAACAGGCAGAGTCTCTCAGTGTCCAGTCACACTAGCACGCTCCCTCATCCCAAGCGCCGCCAATTGTCAAGGCAACAGTCTGCCTTTGCAAGCCTAGGTACCCACCAGTGGCAATGTGCATCTTCAGGGCGCCTTAATCTGGAAGCTGCTGGATTAAGCGAGGGGTTAGCGAAGCGAGATGCAGGAAGATTCAGCCAGTGGTGGGGAGGCAGGGAATGTCAGGGACGAAATGAGGGTCGGAGGAGGCCTGCATGCGTGGGCGCCTCGGCAGAAGGACAACAAACAAATGAGGTAAAAGATCGAAAACTCGTTGACTGGTATATGAGCACGCCTAAAGAGTGCTTCGCGGACTGGTGGTTGCCCTTGCTATGTACGAGATGTGAAGTTGACAATGTGAAACCAATGTTTGTTCTTTTTCATGCCCAATCGTTGCTTTTTTTGTTCCTTTTGGATTGCCACTTGGATAAGGAGTCCAAGCGCTCAAGGTTGACACAACCAAATGAGTTGGAAGTGGAGGCTCCATCTCTCCGTTCCATTTTATCAACAATCAATGTGCGATCAATGTGCGGGTATCTGGCGCTCATTTCAGAGCCAGCCTTTGCACCTTTACCAAATTGACAGGGCTGCGCATTTGACAAAAGAACAGGTTGGTGGCGCCTGACCAATGGAAGTTCGCTCTGTTTCATTGTCCTTATTGGCTGTTTGGACGCAGACATGAGCCTGGTGGAGTATAACACGTCAGGATGATGCAAGTGCCTGTACCTTCGTTGTTCAAAGGTCCATTGTTTTGTTCCGCGCTGTGCATTCCATCATAGGCTGCATTGGTCATGGTACATTTCGGTTTTTAAAATGGATGTTGCATCCGGTCAATCTTGGAACATACAGTTTCTGCTCTGACCTCGTCACCTTGACATGTTGCCCTGAATAAACAGTGCAATTTGTTCTCTGACATTCACCTCAGAACGCCTTTTAAGTCACCATCTTTTAGTTTGATTTGATATGGTGATAACCACTCTGCGGCGTTGTACCTGTGGCAGCATCCTGGCCAGTAATCAGGTGGCCGTCTGTTCGGGCATTGCTGTGATTGGGCCGTATTCCATCGCTGAAACCAAACCGGCGTCCTGTGTCTGGCCGCCTGTTTGGAGTACAGCATTGGCTCAAACCTGCTGAAGAGTTCTACTTGGCTGTCTTTGTCGAGTGCAGCACGTCCCTGGTCTCATACCTGGCGATTCACCATGGTGACCTTGAATATCCTGATTGATCCCTGAAGAAATAATATCTCAAATTTTACTTCTGCGGCAATTGGGATTAGGAAGGAGGTTTAGCACGCGTCATAGCGAAACTATGTTGGGTTTTGAGTGTTAGCTTGGATCTTATCATCACTTTACCTCTTCGCCAGTAGTCTAGATGATTGAACATCTGGCCACTGCTTGTCAAGAGCAGTCTCACAGAATCTCCTTAAAACGGTGCAGTCTTGGTACTGCACCTTCCGGATGGGCAGTGCTTGGTTAGGGATGCTTACTGGGCAGGTTGGGTAGTGTTCCTACACGTATCTGAGAAAACAGTCGTGGGCATAAAATTGCTACAAGTCTGGTGCCTTATCATCCACCACACATCGCTTGCCACCCCCTACAAGAGAGTCTCTTGGACTCCATAGTATGCCTTAAATGACGGGCCCGATTCCTCTCTCCCTTGTTACAGCTCTGTGTGACAATCAACTTGTTCCTGTCAATGGATATGTTGGATTGCTTATGCACCGAATCCCTCTTCCATCCAGCATCTGCACCGGTGGACCGACGCGAGCTGAGCAACTTCCATCGAAACTGTATCTATGCAGGTCGAACCTGTTGACCCAAGACACACTTTAGTTCAGCTCAATGTAAAACTGGTCGAATCCATCGACTTCAACTGAAGTAGATTGATTCTTATTCCAGGAACCACAGCCTGCAAAGGATTCCCCTCTGGAGGCAGTGACGGAGGCCGTCACCAAAAAAGCGCCCGCCGTCATCTCCAACCTAGCAAACCGCCTCATCTTCGGGACGCTTATCGGGGTCGTAGCCGGCTCGGTCGTCATCGCGGGGGGGTGGTGGTTCACACTCGTCCTGGCTGTGGTAAGAACCCCTTGATTGGAACGATTAGGAAGTGCCTTAGCACTGTACTGCCAATCGAATCCGCACCTCAAGTCTGCGAGTAATCTTAATCTAAAAGGTTTATGCTTTCGCACCGGCCAGATCAAACTATTTTGGTTTCCCTTCTTGCCCGTTTTGCCTGCTAAAAAGAGCCTTTTTGGGTCCACAAATCCTTCTTCTTTCATGTCAACGTTTCGACCAGGCAGCAAATAATGTCCTGAAATTCTCGACCTGGGGTAAACTAATTATTTTCTATGTGGATTCACAGTGGCGGTACGGTATGAGCTTTTGTGCATGTCATGGGCAAGGCTGTCATTGAGACGGGTACTGTGCACTGCGCTTCAGATGTATGCTACGGCTGTAGATAGCAAGGAATGTCTCGGTTCTTGCACTAGGCAGTGTTTGCCAGCGCCGTTACACCGCTCACTCCTGCCAAATAATCTCGGGATCGCCCTGAAACTGGTTTCCACACTCGCAATCAGGCCGATCTGGGGCTCATGACGAAATTGATGCTCCGAGATGACCTTCCTGCGGGCACAAGTGACTGGAACTCAAGAGTGTTTCGACTTGGCGAAGAGTAGAGTCATGGAGAAGGGCGCGTTTGCGATGAAACCCATCCTTGCGGCATCCAGAGAGGATAAGATTCGTGCAATACCTGCAGGTTCAAGTGATTGGGAGTCAAGAGTACTTCAAGGTGGTGAAGAGTAAAGCCATGGTAAAGGACTCTTTTAAGACCAAAACGAATCGAGATCAAAACCGTACCATACCTGCAGGTACAAGTGATTGGGAGTCAAGAGTACTTCAACCTGGTAAAGAGTAAAGCCATGGTGAAGGACTCGGTACCCCCTCCCACCATCGCCATCTACGCCTGCAACACTATGGCCTTCTTCTTCCCCATCATCACCATGTAAGCCGCCCAGCTTCGAGCCGGTGTGCTCTCCAACTCGGCATTCGCCTTCTCGGGGAAGTGCACAGTTCATAGTGTCCTTCTTTAACGAGAGAAGTCGATCAGCCGTGAGTGTTTTCTCATTGACGAGCAAGAGTAATCTTTGGGACCAAAAAGGAGGCCGTACTACGCCGCCACCGCCATGGCCTGGACTCGTATGTCGAGATCGTCATGTTACGAACGCAATTGGGGTCGAAAATTAGTGGCCCTCATCCTTCTTGCCGTCTCACCGTCAGCAGCTCATTTTCAATCAAACCGCGCCTGGTTACAATGGCACCCAATGCAAACGCCAACATTCATGTCAACCCAGCACGTCTTTGCCAACCTTTTTCGAGGGTCACCAGTGTTGAGTCAACAAAGAGATCTCCTGACGTCCAGGTACTGTGGCGGCCGCATCGGTGTGGCCCTGACAACCACCGCGTTCGTGCTGATGATGGTCCTTCTGCTCCAACCCACCAAGCCCCGCTTCTCCCAGTTCACGACCACTGTGTTTGGCCTCTTTTACACCAGCTACCTCCCCGTCTTCTGGATCAAGCTCCGGATGCTTAACGCGCCCGCCCTCAATAGCGGTGAGCAGTGACGCGCGCAGTGGTCCTTTGGTTCTGTTTGGTTTTGTAACGTGCTATCCTCTGGGCTCTCTGACTAAGGTTCATGACTGCATGCGCTGAACGGGACTTTTGGAACAGACATGATCAGTGATCGTGCTCGGAATCCGCCGCCCATCAATCGTTCACGAGCATCGACAGGTGTCGATTGCGACCGTAGCTTCCAGTTGTTTCTCTGCCTGCAGCGCGACTGAACGACCTGGACCTTGAACCGTACAAGGATGTGAGCAGTCCTACTAGAACAGACAATCAGGTGGATTAGCAGGTCTCAAGGGACGCATCGAGGTTCTAAGAAACTGGGTCTCCTAGTAGAGAACCTTCCCCCGTCTTCAATCTATCAGAGACGTTTATCTCCTCACAATCAGATTCCTCGGGCACTCGCCATGCAGGAACTCGCTGGGAGTTTAGGTTCGAGTGACCATTCGACTGGGCTCCTTCAAGAGCTTGCGGCGGTGACGAGTGCACACTTGATTGTAAAGTGTTCAGGAAGCCTGATGCTGACGCCTGTCCTTCGCTGCAGTAATCGTGCGGAATTGGCCGATTCTCCTAGGAGGCCCCGCCCATTGGACGGTGGGGCTGATAGCGACGCTCATCTCCTTTGCCTGCATAATCGCCGCGGATGTAGGCGCGTACTTCGGGGGGAAGGTGATAGCCATTTGCTTTGGTTTGATGCTTCAGCGCTCCTCAAAAGACGTCACATTTATTGTTGGTTTTGGTCTTGGTCTTCCGAGCGCTTCCTGAGTCAAGATGTACGTTCCGGAGATTATGACGGTACCTTGGAAATTGGGTCGGTGAAAAGCTTGTCAAAACACAAGGTTTGCTCAGGATTATTTGTTAGGCAGGGAAGAACTCTCTTGGGTTTGCTCTCAAACCAGTGCCTTCTCCTTGATATATGTTTTTTGCGCCACCTAGGAAATACGTCCTGTAGGCGTTCTGTAGGCCGGCTGCAGGGGAATATGAAGCCACTTTTCGTTTCAATCACCATCGGTACTTCGCTGAAAGATGCTTTCTTTTTCGACCCTTCTTTGGATGTTTCTGGAACATTGCGGTGATCGATGACAACAAAGAATTGTTGCTTCGCGAGGTCGCACTCACTCTCCCAAGCTGACGTCACTCTCGCTTCCGCAGACTTTCGGAAAGACGCCGTTGACTGACGTCAGCCCGAAAAAGACGGTAGAGGGGGCCATCATGGGGCTGCTGTCGTCGATTGTCGTAGCGGTGGCACTGGGGCGGCTCTTTAACTGGCCGGTCTCGATGCTCAGGTAAGCGCACGCCGTTCCTCCCACTGCCTTGTCCAATACCTTTTCTGTTTCTACCAATGAAAACGCCCTTACTGTTCCTATTTTGGCTTGTGCCTGTTGGATGCCTTCACTTCTTTTTCTTCTGCTTTCTGCTTTCTTTCGATTCTTGGGTGTGCCGTTATGTTGATATTCCGGTCCCCCCTCTTCTTTGTCATTCTGCTTGAGGGTTTCTCAGGAACGTTCTCGCGAGTGTGCGCCTTTTCGTGTCACACACCTTCTTCATCTCTCATGCCGCTGGTTCCGAAGTGCTCGTTGCCTTCTGCTGGCCTGATTTCGCCTCCACGAGTTTCAAAGCCGCCCTGTCCGGTAGTAAGAGCCGCTCGAGGAGCCGTCTATACCACACAATATTTTTGCACAAACCTCATCTGCTAGTGTTCCCATTTTGCTAAGTCCTGTTATTCTCTGTCATTTTGGTCTGCTTACAGAGCTCCCTCGCTGTCCGTGTGTAGAGCGCCAGTCATAGAGCCGTACATCGTGCTCCCCATGACGTCAGTCAGCGCCTCAGGATGCTGCCTGTTTGTCCTACTCTTTCCCGTTATCATTGCGGCCGCAACTGTCGTCCTCCCATTCTGGCTCCTGTGGCACGGCGTTCAGCAAATGGTCGCGAGCGTTGTATTTGCAGTAACCAGCATCACGCCGTGAGTTGCATTGGTGGGGCCTCCCAATTTCCATTCTAAGGCCCGCGGTGTCCATTTTTTGGGGTTTGAGTGTCGGGGTTTTGAGTGTCTCGCGTCGGGATTGTGCGGGCTCAAGAGGATCTTGACGGACTCTCGTAAGTCGTAGGCAGAGCCGCATGCCTCCGTTGCGTTCTGCGTCAATTGAAAACTGCTAGGCTTGCCAGCTTCGCATCTTCGGTTTTCATACGGCTTTGCAGATTACCGCTCCAGCTGAATCGTGTACTAGGTCTGTACTTTTCATACTGCGTGATTGATCAACGCGTTGTCATTGGTCCTGAGGACCGCAGATGAGCGCTCACTCAATCCGGGCGAAGCGGAATCTTACCCTTCACAGGAATCTGGTCATCCAGAGAGAATTTGACGGTCCGAGACTTTAGTAGAGTTCCTGCAATCGTTGTCTTTCTTCTTGTCAGTCGCGCTCACAAAAACCGTGGTGGAGAATCTTGGCAGATGAAAAAGTCCTTGGCGTGTGAGTACGTGAGAAGAAGAATACTGATGGCTAAGCAAAGAGACTTTCCAAAAGCATCCTGGGCTCTCACAGAATCTTGGCTTATGGACTACTGAGCTTTTCTTTTGTTTCTTGCTTGCCGACAATTAGGTGCTTTGCAAGCTCTGAGGAACGAGGCCTTGCAACGCCCTTCTTCTTGATTGGACCCCCTCGCCCTCGGCGTGACTTGGTCTTGGTTTTACTGGCTTAGTCGAGTAGATTGGTCTTCAGTTTCGCTGTTGGGGTCGAAGTCTTCGCCCCCTCTTTTCTTTTCGTGCCAAGATTGTATGGAACCTGAGATTCAGGAAGGGACCGCCCTGGTTTCGAAAAGCGCAGACCAACTATGTGATGTTTTCTTTCGCCAATCAGTGCCTTGCTTTCCAACGTGAACATTCTCGCCTGCAACTACAAAAGCAAAGCGTTGCCATAATTGGAAAATGGACCGGGAAAAGCAGCGACCACGACGGTTGGTTGCCTGCTTTTCCGTCGCCCTTGGGCGACCATTTCCGGAGTTACTTTCTGACTCGCTTCTCCAAACAAAGGGAACGGCGCTCATGGAATTGTCCTTCCTTGCCCAGTTCGGCCACTCTCGCAACGCTCATCTTCATCGCCAGCCTGTTCGGCGACCTGACCGAGTCCATGATAAAACGGGACGCGGAAGTCAAGGACTCGGGCGACCTCATCCCAGGCCATGGTGAGAACCGCGTCGATGCATCACAAAGATATCAGGGTTCTGAGGTTTGCAGCTTAGATACTTCGGATATTTTTGGTGCTCGCAGCGCGTCGCCAGCGTGTTTGATGAATTGACGGATCCCGTTACTTTGACGATTAACCTGGGCTTGGAATAGATCATCTTGGTAACCTTGTGGCGGCTGTAAAATCAATCGAGGAGATTGCGCGCTGAACGAAACGGTCACGCTGACTAGCGCTTGGTTGTATGCTGTTTTCAATTGTCTCGTGGGCTTTTGTTTGCATGTCATTTGGTCGCTCAAAAACTGTTTCTTTGCACTCCGTTTTCAATTTATCCGTTACAAATTCACTAGTATGTGCTCAGAGTCGTAGTTGCAATCTCAGCAGAGAGTCTTAGTCGGAGTAACAGAACAGCAAGGCGAACAATGTGAAGTCACATGTGCCCAGAATCAAACCTTGAGACAATTTGCGGATGATAGTCGTAATCTACGATGCTGAAATACCAACGTGCTGTTTCTGATACGGAGATTGTCAGAGATACTTTCCGTTTGCTTTGAGGCTGTTCCGAATCCAGCATCTTGCCTTAAGCTGTCTACCCATCTTTCGCCTTGCAGGGGGCATTCTCGATCGGGTTGATAGTTACGTCTTTACAGGGGCGCTAGTGTACTCGTTCGTTAAACTTGGACTTCCATTATTTGGACTATGATCATAGTAACTACTTTCTTTGACTTTCTGTAGTGCGGAACACGAGAGGCTTTGCCTCAATACATGAGACGATTGAAGAGCTACGTCTCTCGAGATGCTGGTACTTAGGCTCAGGCTCTTGGCTTGGAAACCTAGTCCGATCAATTGATTTGAAGAGCGCCGCATGCTACATGCAAGCATGCCCTGCTTCGACCTCCATTGTTAGCTAGTATCATACCATGTCGTTTGAACAATGGAAACGAAAGCCTGGCATTGAAGAACGACAAATGTTATCACAGTATGCTACTATAGTATGGGTCAGGCGCATCGTCCGCTACTAGTCTCTCTTTGTAGAACTTAATGACGTACCGTTGGCCCGGCCGTGGGATACTGCATCATTACAACCCTTCAACTTACTCATGACTAAGGCCGCCACGCGCAGGCTGCATGGCCGCCGTGGCACCATGAGTCATTTGAAAGCGCATGCATGCATATTTTAGGCGCCGCAGATTCAATTCCACATGTATTTTATAAACGTAGACGACAATAACTTAGACCAGCATCAGCTAGACTCACATATATATCTACATATATGCACGTGTAATTCCGCCCTGCAACTTACTCATCTTTCACTCTAGCAACTCATGAAATTTGACAGACTTGGTACCCGTACGTACCCCACGCGACTAATCATGGTGCCATAGTAAAACCAACGCTGCGCTGCAATTATTCGGGCCATGGTCAATCAAACTGATCAGTGATGGCGTGACGCCGGCATCGGCGGCCCTTGCTTGCGCAAATTTCAGTGCAACCAATACTTGTCGCTGAGTCTGACCAGAACTAGCCAGGCTAGAGCTGGTCAGCCAAGTCGGAAGTCACCATTGAATCAACCAATCTACCAAGATCGATTACTTTGGCCGGCAGCGGTGGTGCTCAGTGTGTTCTGCAAGGTTCTGATTCGGATGATACGATCGTGCGACGGTCTGGTCCCGGCAGCGGCGCGACCGCGCGCCGCCGCAGGGGCACATATGTTCGGACATGGCATGTTACTGTAAAGCAGCTACTGTAGTTGCACCGGCTTCAGATCGTGAACATAGGAGCTCCGACTACGGTCCCAGCCTGGCAGGATGTCGCATGATGGGGTTATTGAGTCTTCTTCGGTCCTGCCAAGCATCAATCTGATGTGTTTATACGCGATGGAATCCATGGTGAACGATCGCTTATGATGCTCTCCGGAACAAGGACCACGTATCTGGCTGCATCAGTGCAAATGGCGCAGCATCGAGTGATATGCAACGCGGTCGAGGCTGCTCCTACCAATCCTTCGGCCGGGAAGGCAAAAGCGCTGGCAGAACCAAATCTCTACACATGACATACGTCGTCAATTCTGCTCATTTAGTCCCCCTTCCTGTCAGGCCTGCGCGATGACAGTCGCCACAGTTGCCGAAGCGCCTGATAGCTTAGGCTAAACGGCGGTAGTGCCAAAGCCTTGCCCTTGACGGCGCCTCCGGTGCCCTTAACCCGCGTTAACCCGCGCACACGGTGCGCTCACGTCACGAGACCGTCCTGGCCGGGTTCGCACCGATCTGCGCGCGCGCGTCGGAGGACCGTCCTGGCCGATGTGCGCAGATGTGTGCGCGCGTGTCAATGGACCTTCCTGGCCGGTTCGCACCGTCCTGCGCGCGCGCCCCCCTCCCTCCCATTTTCGCCGGGCCGCTGGCGTGCGCCGCGACCGTGCGGCGCATCGATCACGGACGTGTCCCCAAAGTGAGGGAGCAAGGTCCCGCCGACGGCTTCTAGGAGAAGGCGTCACCACGTCACGCATCCGCGAATATTAGAGATGTACGAAACTGCGCAAAAGGGAAACGGAGGTTACATTGCTCATTTTTCCTGGGAAGGTCTACAGCTGGCATGGCTTCGACGTGCCATCGCGAAAACTTGGAGATCCAAAGTGGGATGTGAGAGACCGGTCGATCGATAACGGCAAGACAGGTAGTTCAATGATGAAAGAAAGCGAGCGCTTTGAAGTCTCCGGCACCGTTTCAAAAAAGTAGCCGGGCCGGAGGAAAGAACATAACACCGGCGAGATTTGTGCTATACACGTGAAAAGCCAGCCGTTGTCAGCTGGCCGCTCCGAAGATAAGCCAAAGGACACCCAATACGCTATTCTCCAAACCTTTGACAGGCGTGCTTTTTTCCAAAAGGAGCTTTGAGATTGGAACGAGTCTCAGTTCAACCACGAACGGCAGAGTCTGAAAACATCACAGAAGTTGTTCTAGTGACGGCCGCGCGCCTGTCATTGCAAAACTGCTTGAGTAGGTTCTAACACTATATTGCTCGATTCCCGGAAGCAGAGTTTTGAGTCGCACGTGTTGTGCTCACCTGATCCTTACGAGTTGACTGTCTCTGTACGGGCTCGCGGACTTCAAAGTTCGTCTGAAAATGGCGCGCACTTCATCCCTGTTGCTCGGGTTCCAAGCCGAACGGTATATACGTACATACTGTGACCACTCGGCGATGGTGATGTTGGAATGGCAGGTCTGCAAACGCCGAGACGCCAGGTTGGCTACAGTCTCCTTCTTGTTGCGCCTCGAACGATCCATCGCAGAGGACGTTCCGTTGCTGGGTTGAACGGTGAAAACTGGAAAGGAAAAGAAGGGCAGAAGTCTTTGAAGGACAACCGGTAAAAACAAGCTTTTTGAAGATTAGTGACATTACCGCTCTCAAAACAATCTCATGACCTGTTACATCGAGGGATCTTAAGGCAGTTGGGGACGTCTTTGTTCAATCTGAGTCGCGATGAGCCGGTAGATTGGGACGTTCTCGAGCTCCAGTGCCACTGAACCAAGACAACATGTGATGAGCGGCAAACAATTAAAGAGCGGCAGAACCGAAGAATCAGCTTGTACAGTTGGCTAATACTTTAATCCGCGCTATAGAAGAAGCTGGTTTGAATTCCTGACATCTTCTTGTTCGTCACGACTTCCAAGGACGCGCTCAAATCGGAGTTCCTCAGGCCAAGGATGAGACTCATGACGTGTGGGCTTTGATATCTGGGTTTGCTGATATGGAAATTCTCTTGTACCACAGATTGAGCTTATAAGATTCAGAGGAAGGGGCGTATGTGTTGAGCGCCTTTTGCATCCTGATGACTCCTAATACGGAGCAATGAGCACGTCTTCACAGAACGGTCGGGTAATCTATCGACGAAGGGCAGACTGTTTGCTTAGGCAGCTGAATTGAACCGGTCACTTGTCCAGTGGAAGGGTACTCATAACCCAGCCTCTGGAAAACCCAATTCCTGCGCGTCATTTCGAGCCAAGCTAGAGCCTTGCGTGGAGTCCAAACCCACTTCTAGTTTTCGATCATACTGTTGAATTGTACACTGGTCAGACATGCTCGTTTCTCCGTGTCCTTTGTCAAGCGCTCTGTCCTCTTACCTCCGAGTTTTGACCTCTGGTTTCACCACGGCAGACTAAACAAGAAACAAAAATGGAGCGCTTCAAGATGTTCAGAGAGTGCAATCATGGAAAGAGCTGACCAATCCAGTTGGACACAAGTCCGAAGAAGAACGTGCCGTGCAGACAGGGTGGTTCTAAATAGGTCGAGGACTGCTTCTACGCCATCAATGGCTTCCCTCTACTTCTTTGTGAGTACGGGACCGATTCCAAACCTATCTGGTACTTTAGAAGTGGTCTTGGATGACAATCTTTTCTACAGATCACAAAGTCGTCCATTGGTTTCTGGTGGGGCGGGGCTTCGTACTAGAAACGAGCAGTGGAAGATCAAAGCCGCTAGAGGGGTCACAGCAGCTCCAATCCCTCGCAATTGCCTTTATTTGTTGCTTGGCTTATAAAGCAAAAAGCACAAAAGACAGGGCAACGTTTTCAAGAGCATTCCGTTGGGTTGAGGTTCTTCTCCATAAAAGATCCAACCCTCGAGAAGCTTCTTTACTTCTCCTACTTGATCTTCGTTTCACTCCTACTTCCTCATCCCTCTACCTCTACCCCTACTGAAAACATGCAAATTACTGGAAAACATTCAGCACCGGACGTTTCTTTCTGCTCTGTGGCCGGGCTTGGCATTTGGGTTGAGGATCTAGAGAAGCAAGAATAGAATCTGCTAAACTTTTCAAAGCCAATCGTTCTTACCGTCTACTTCTTTGTTGTGCACGACGTCCGGAACAATCTATCCTTGTCGAGCCCCCTGGATCAAGTGGGCGACTCTGCAAGCACAAGCCGCCGTCAATTGCAAGATCCAGCTCAACCTGAAGCTCATTGCGCCAGGATCAGTGGGGAATTCCTTGCTTAACTACAAAGACACTGCTTCCCAAGTGTGGGCTGATACCCATGATCCATCCGATCAGCCCGGCTTCTCTCTATAAGTCCTCTCCAGCTCTTTGCTTTCTGCCCAACTATTTTCTCCCTTAAGTTTTCCTCCAAGGAACTCAACAGAAATCGAGCCATGGGCGAACTGTCCATTCTCTGCCAAAAGGAAGACGACTCCGCTGGTTTCCAAAGCCCGGACCGGACGCTCACAGCGGCGCCTCTAATCCGATTATCCTGATTGCATGCTTTTCTTGCCCACAGAAGCCTTCAATGGTAATCATCTTCCTGCGACGCCTCTGATTCGTCCAATCTGTCCAACGAATATGCTGATTGCACCTTTCTGTATCTTGGTCCCCCAACCGTCGTCAGAGCAGTTATGAACGTACATAAGCTATCCGAAAAAGGGGCAGAACACTGGCAACCTCCGGACAGGCTTCTTACCCGCCATTTCAATTGAGTCCTGAATAGTTTTCGGAGAACTGATCAATCCTCTCAAGATGCTCTCACCGGCGCAGCTCACACTCTAGTTTCCGACTTGTGCCGCGGAGCATTTATGGCTGCTGTCAGATGCAATCCTCAGTTTCCGGTGAAAGCCCGCCGAAGCAAAGACCTTTTTGATGATGGTCATCGGAACCGAATCATTCATCATCTTGAGGTGGCAAACAAGACTCCAATGCTAAGAGGATCATCATCGTCAGTAGGGACGGGGAGCTGGGAGGGAGAATTGAGCCTTGAGCTCTAATCGTCTTCAATTTGCAAAACAGGTTCATTAGTTCTCGATCAACAATGCACAATCATACGGAATTGAATGTTGAATCATCAGACGTCTATAACCTGACGAGTATACCGGTAGCAGGAGCTAAACAATCTCAGCTTCTAAAAGAAGGCACTAGAAAGATATGGAGGAGAATCTGACCAGGTTAGGAGGAGCAGTTCAGCTCCGCAGTAAGAGATTGACATGCAGATTGATCTGAACCAATGTTCGTGGCGAAACTAATTCTTTTCGCCAATTTGATTTTCGCCAGATTTTCGCCATTTAGTGTCTGGGAAGGGAATTTCGCCGGCCTGGCGAAAATGGTCAGGCCGTCAGCCAGTTCTTACATGCTCGGGTGCTCCCACCCGCTTTGACGAATCTTAACCCTGCTCAGAACCCCGTACTTTACCTTTGCCTTGCACATTTTCAAATGACTCTCCAGAGACAACGGAAAAACTTGGTCGGTACAAGAAGTTTTGGTGCCGGGACACTCTACCGGCCACAATTGCCGCTGGGATTTTCGCCATTAGTGTCATTTTCGCCAATTAGTGTCTGGGAGCTCCTATTTAGTGTATTTCAAGATTTATTTTCGCCACGATCACTGATCTGAACGTCCTTCTGGCTTGTTCTCCAGCTGCTATACCTGCCAGCTAGCTATGCCATCGGAGGTGCTATATACGTACGCTGTCATGTGCTTCCGGCTATATGCAGTTCCATACGTCCAAGGCTTGATCAATTGCTTATACATGCTTGACGGCTTTGGAACATCTCTACTGCTCAAATGGGGCTGGAACCTCTCTAGTCCTAGCACATGTCCTTAGGGCGGCTGCTACATTTCCCGCCTATACCATCTGAGGGTGCTATAGCTATACGTAAGTCGCTGTCATGTGCATTCGCCTATATGCAGTTTCATACGTCCAAAGCTTGACCAATTGCTTATGGATGCTTGAGGGCTGTGGAACATCTTTTAAAGCTGCTCAAGGTCAAAGGAAACAGTAGTCCTAGCAGCCAAAAAAATGCTTGGAAGACCGTTTCTTCCAGCTGCAATCTCTGATGGCTACTGTTGCCATCACCGGTTTCAGCTCGCTGACATGGCCAAGACTCTGCGCTTTCCTGCAGTGATCTGCAAGTGTCCCACAGGATGATCTTAGTAACCATTCTATGACGTCTTTGAAGCTTTGTTGCCAGCTTGATAGGCGTTGTTTCCATTGTAGAATGCTATCATGCATATTCCAGCTCTGAAAAGACCAGAGAGGTAATCGGCTGACGTCATTGACCAGCTTAGTGCTCACTTGGACGTATCAAAGGAACCGTTCTGATGGGAAGTACTAGAGTCATCTCGCCTCCTGAAATTACGAGCGTACCACTTCACATTCAGCTATGAGCTTTCACCGTTTTCCAAGCTGAGAGTCGGAACTGTCGCCTCTCTGAACTCTGAGTACTCTCAGGCTAGCTAGTCTCAGGCGGTTATCGGCTCAAAGAGTGCGGCCGGCTGTTCGGCGCGGCCGCACCCAACTTGCGCACTGAGGCAACTCATTACTAACTTAGCGGCCGCGTCGGACTCGGCTGGCGGCCGCCCGTGCGGCCGGCCGCCAAGCTGCCGCCCGCGGGCCGATAAGTTATGACCGTGCAATTATTGCACTTTGGCGAGGGGTCGGAGACTCGCCGCTCGGAGTTGCGAATTCCTGACATGCAGCCGGCAAATGCGATGCCTACCGTACGGTATTAGGTGTGCAGCAGGTGGCATGCAACTCAGAGCGACTCACATTGGTGAATCTCCGGCTGCTAAAGACGACACGAAAATCTCGTTCGGAATAATCACGTTCACGTTGGACTACGGTACCGTATACCCACCTCTTCGACTGAGCGCTCAGGAGTCAGCGGGGCAAGCCGCAAAAGTTGCGCTTGTGTGGTGCATGATGGACTCCGGGTGCGCCAAATAAGGGACCAGCAAGCATACCGGTCGTACCCTCTGGGACTCGAAGTCAATAGGCTATCGCCGGCGTCAACTTTTATTTTGTCGCGCCAGAGTTCCGGCATGCATCCCAGCTGGGGGTATCAGGAAAAACAGACTGGGAAGTCCTAGATGCTTTGATCGTATATGCTCATCTGTTATCGTTTCAAACCGGCTAGGATTTGCCGGTCCTGGCAAGAGCTTATGATCCAAAAGTCGCTGCATGCAGATCGCGGAGTTGAGTGTACCGTACGTTAGTGTTGTGCCATTGGTACGGTACTCTAGTCCCAATCCGTTGGAGCACAAGGAGAAGTACCTCTAGAGGTAGAAAATGAGCCTCCTTTGAGCTCCCACCTTTCAATCACAGCTGTACAAATGTCAGGTAATTTTGTTGCAGTACACATTGGCAGTGCTGCGGAACCTTCTAATATTGCAGATATTTTTACGAGCTGACATCGGACATAGCGCCTGCAAGCTGACGCAAGCCCGCAAGCTGACGCAACTTGTCTCGAAAGTAACTGCAAATAAATGCTGGGATACCCCGCGGCTCGCGGCCAGTTCCTCAGCTTGTTGCTCTTCTTGCAGAATACGCAGCCGTTTTTCATAAGAGAATTCAAGCCCTAGAAGCCCATCGCCTATGAACCTCTATAAGACGCATGCTGGGCATCCAGCTTTACAACGACTCCGAATGCGAGCAGGATATATGTGGGAATATCCAAACCACGTTCCATCCAAAGACATTGCAAGGGTGACGTTTAACCGAGCTGCTATTCTACCAGTAGTACGCCAAATCACCAACGAAGCTGGAAACTGGTTAAACAAAGCTGGTAGGAATGATGAAGGCAGCTCAAGGAAGAAGTGTGACTTCCAGCCCACTTCCAGCTGCGGCCTCCGACCATCATAGCATTTCAGCACGCGCAGTACATGTTGCAACTTGTCTCACATGCAATGGGGGAAATTCGAATATCATTGCGCTTATGATCAGCTCAGCTCTCATAAGCAGAGTCGCTCCCTGCAATGCGGAGTAGCTGCCACGCAAACGCCCAGCCCTAGACGTGACTGCCCCTTCCTCTATCCTAGCCTTAGAGCTGAATCACAGCCCAGTCTGATAGCATTCCTCTTGCTCTCAGCTCGGATCCTGCTTCCACATAGGTATACAATCCCCAAACCTGCCCTATAAAACACAATCGCATCCGGCCACATTGCACATTCGCTCAGAACTCCAGCAGCCAGCTCCCCAGCTCCAGAGGCCACATTCCCCAGCTAGCCGCCATGGCTTCTGCTCTGCGCCTCTCGCTGCTGTTCATCGCCTCCGCCGCGGTCCTGTCTGGCGCCGCCGCGCAGCAGATCAACATCCGGGTTAACGTGCAATGCTTGAACGTGCTGGACAACAGCCAGATCGCCAACATCCCCGGGCTCAATGTGGGTGTGATCCAGGTCATCGCGGCGGCCCTCGGCGGGCCCGGCCAGGCGCCGTCGGCGCTGTTCTTCAACAGTGAGTTTCGCAGTCTTGCGCTGGACAGATTGTGGATAGTGTCTTCAGCAGTGGACTGAAATTGGGATTCTAGGGTGTATTTGATTTTCTGGGCTGCACTAGTAGCTATGAGTGGTATGGAAACACGCTCTGACTTGTGCAAAGCTCGCAAGCTTCTGATCTGGTCACTAGGGCGGGTTGTTCCTCTTCTGGGTGAATTTGATTTCCATTCCGAGCCCGGCCTCGGAAGATTTCATCTGTGGCTGAATAGGAGTGGGCTTGAAGTTTCTGGATGGGTAGGAGTGGGACTAGTACTTTCTGAACAGTGGATTTTGTCACGAAATGTGTGAAGTTGGATAAGCATGCATGTGAGAATTGGGTGGTTGAGAAGCGGTGACGTCAAGCTGCTCAGTATGGGAATTCCAAGCAGCCTGCTCATGGCATCTCTCCCCATGTTGAGCTGTGGACTTTTCTAATCACAGACGAAATATTGAGGCTTCCGGCTGAGTGCTTGCATATCAAGTTCGGCTTTCTGAGCAGCCAGACTCCTTAGGCCAACAACTCACGTCAAACCCGCTATTTACCCTGTTCAGCGTGCGCTAACCATCCCTCCGCGTCTCCCTCGCAGGCGGCAGCAGCACCAATAACTGCACCAACAACCAGAACTTCAACAGCAACTCCACGTGCAGCTCCGCCATTGGCCCGATCAACCTGGGCGTCTTGGGACAGGGTACTCTCATCCCTTGCTTCAATCAGCCTGCTACCCCCGCCCCCACCGCAGGGGGCCGCAAGATGCTGCAGCAGGTTAACGTTCCGGTTACGGTTCAGTGCCTTAACCTGCTGAACAACAACCAGATCGCCAACATCCCCGGGCTCAACGTGGGCATCATCCAAGTCATCGCGTCCGTGCTCGGCGGTCCCGGCCAGGCCCCGTCTGCGCTGTTCTTCAACAGTGAGTCGCTTGGCTATGCTGCAAATTTTCACCGACACAATCGCTGGTCTTCTGCATGTCTGAGCTGGACTTATGTCACAGATGCAGAAAAAGTCAATGTAAAGAATGCACACTGTAGCTATTGCTAAAGCTGTGGTCTTTCAATCGTGTAAGTGTATGAGTAGAACGTACCTGGCTTCACACAATGAAGTCAAATCTTCGCTCGTGCTTTAAACCCATCATCCTTGGGGTGAAGCATTGTTCGGCCTTTACCGGAAGTCTTCAGGAGAAATGTGCTAGGTTCTATTGAGTACCTGGAATCGGATTTGTAAGGAGTGCGATGACCCTTCAGTCACCAAGCATTTAAGAACATTCTAAGCCGTCCTCTTACTCCTCTCGCGCAGGCGGCACCAGCACCAACAACTGCACCAACAACCAGAACTTCAACAGCAACTCCACTTGCAGCTCTGCCGTTGGCCCGATCAATCTGGGTGTTCTTGGCCAGGGAACTCTTATCCCCTGCTACAACGCGCCCGCCACCCCCGCCCCCACCGCCGGTGGCCGCAAGCTGCTGCAGCAGGTTAACGTCCCGGTTACGGTCCAGTGTCTTAACCTGTTGAACAATAACCAGATCGCCAACATCCCCGGGCTGAACGTGGGTGTCATCCAGGTCATCGCTGGGCTGCTTGGCGGGGGTGGCCAGACCCCGTCTGCGCTCTTCTTCAACAGTGAGTTTCTCAAAACTACTTCGAAGTGTCCATTCGCTAGCTTATCTCTTTGATGTGTCTGGGGCCCATTTCACGATCTGTGCACCTCATGTTCTGCTCGCTATCTCAAATGGTTAGTGGCGAAAGTGACAAGTTCTTAGCTCCGCAACACTCTGTTGCTAGCATATTCTTTCATCAAAACCAAGTGTAATTCAGCAATCAGTCATTCTGCAACGGTTTTGCTGAACATTTCGACTTGTGCCTTTGACTTCTGAGCAGAACAACAATATTCTGCACTTGCCGTGCGACACACACTGTGACATTCTCTGTGACTTGTCTCGATACTTATTCTCTGTGACTCGTCTCTCAGACCGAACATGAACGCAACGAAAACGAAAGCGCAGTGACTGATCCGTCTTCTTTGTCCCTCGCAGGCGGCACCAGCACCAACAACTGCGTCAACAACCAGACCTTCAACAGCAACTCCACCTGCAGCTCCGCGATCGGTCCCATCAACCTGGGCGTCTTGGGGCAGGGCACTCTCATCCCTTGCTACAACCAGCCCCCTGCCGGCGGCCGCAAGCTGCTGCAGCAGGTTAACGTGCCGGTTACCGCCCAGTGCGTTAACCTGTTGAACAACAACCAGATCGCCAACATCCCCAACGCGATCGTGCAAGTCATCGGAGTTGTCGCCGCGGTGGGCGGTGCTGGCCAGGCCCCGTCCGCCATCTTCTTCAACAGTAAATTTCTCGCACCTTGTCTAAAAGCTTTTGTATAGTTAAAACCCGTACCAAAGACTGTACTGACGTCCAATCTCATGCTTCGTGTTCGAGAGCTGTTTTGACGAAGAGCTTTGTCAGATTGGATATGTCTCTTGGATAAGACGTAATTCTGCAGAGCGCCTAGTCTTCCTACTTGGTCAAGTTTTTCCATATGAATATTTTGAAAGCTCCGTCGGCAGTAAATGACAGTGGTCTTCCAGTCTACAGAGCGTCCGGTCACATATCACTGTTGATAAGTGTAGCTTTTTGTAGCAAGGAGTAACGATCTGTTTTCCTCGTCCAGTGTGCAAACTTATTCACGCCGCCTTTCTTGTCTTGGAAACGACAACTGTTCAGAGCCCAAATCAGGTGACATAGTCTGTTACTGTGAAGTCTTTCTCTACGTAAACTCGACATCTCTACGTAAACTCGACATACTCCGATTCCAGCTGTGAACTAATTCTCCACATCTCTTGATCTCTTTCTTGCTCACCTCGCAGCCGGCACCAGCACGAACGACTGCACCAACAACCAAGACTTCAACAGCAACTCCACGTGCAGCTCCGCCATTGGCCCCGTCAACCTGGGCGTTCTCGGCCAGGGCTCTCTCATCCCCTGCTACAATGAGCCCCCCGCCGGCGGCCGCAAGCTGCTCCAGCAAGTCAACGTGCCCATCACCATCCAGTGCGTGAACCTGCTGAACAACAACCAGATCCTCAATCTCGCGAACCTGAATGTGGGCGTCATCCAGCTTATCCTGTCCGCGCTGGGCGGTGGAGGCCAGACCCCGACCGCCGTCTTCTATAACAGTGAGTCGCACAGTAACCTGACTACTCATGTTCGCGAATTTCGTAGCATTTGGGTGGTCGTTGTCCAAGCTGTGGTAGTGTGGTATCTTCTGCAATCAACCTTGACGATGATCAAACCTTAGTTTGCCGGCCCACCTTCTCTACATATGCGCACACTACTTGCACTTTGGCACCTTCCGAACTGTATACAAATACACTCAGAAACATGCAGAGCAAATCGAAGTTCGAAGTTATCAACTGCATCTTTCATTCCGAAACGCTTTCAGAAATATGATTCACTCTTCTTGCTCGAAATGCTTTCGGAAATGTGATTCACGATTCTTGCTCTTCCCCAGCTCGACACCCATTGGCGTTGGAATTTTTTGATCTAGAGAAAGCGAAGAATTCCTGTCTTTTGAGTGTACTTGCTCTGACACTTTGGATCCATCTAACCTACGGTGTTCACCCGACTCGTTTCAGCCGGCACCTCCACCAACAACTGCCAGAACAACCAGGAGTTTACCAGCAACAGCAACTGCTCCTCCGCAGTCGGCCCCGTCAACCTTGGCGTTCTCGGCCAGGGAACTCTCATCCCTTGCTACGGATCTTGAATGCACATCTCTTGTGGTAGACTTAAATATTTTCCTACGCTGGAAGTAGATTGCAAACGAGATCGTCAGAAGTGTGAGGAGACGAAGAGAGTGACATTTTTGTCACGGTCAAAATTGATGGTATACGGCTTTGGAAATGGAATAAAGACGGAACCTGTCTGCGTAGAGGTAGTGTACATGCCCGCTAACGGAGCGCACGCGTAGACTTGATTCGATAAGCTGTTACATGACGACAAGGATTAGGGTAGGGAAGACCCCCTGCCCGTTCCGATTTTGAACGTTAGTGTACGATCCGTTTTTGTTAGAAACACTTGACATCATTACAACAGAATGCTCTGTAAAACACCCGTGGAATGAACTTTTGTTAACACAGTCACACGTGGACGAATTTCGTACGTGAGTATGGTGATACACCGCATTCGCCACTTCTTTCAGCATAAAAGCCAATATGGGCGTGCTCATACAATCGAAATTTGTATGAGCAAAAGTAGTTCAATGAACAAACGTGGCATATCAATCGTAGCCTGAAAGAATTGTCTTGTAACAACTTCGTGGAATATGATTGTGAAATGTCACAATGTTCTCATCGTGCCTACATTTGACAGTGCGTATGGTTAAACATGTCATCCAACACTGTCTGACGACCAAAATGGATATCTTTGACTTACATGTCAAACGTCAGATTGAAGGGATAACCACAGGTTGTCCAGATGAGATACTACGTACGACATTTACAAATCTATTTGGCAGTACGCACCACTGGATCTGAAGAATGTTAATACCTCGCACTTTCACTTAGAGGTGTCCATTCAAATCTGCACCAGACCTACTTTTATTACTTTCCTGCTTCTGCTCTGGCGTTTCAGCCGGAATCTACTCTCGCCCTTCCGTACCGTTCTGCTTCCAAATTTCCGCCCAGCCCGGCCAGGCTCCCACCCCACCACCGCCCGCAGAAACCGACGTCCCTCGTCTCCCTGAACTTCGCACCTGCCGACTCGGAATTGCGCGCGCGAGCGTTCCTGGCATGCCCGGTGCAGTCCACCGACGTGAAACGTGCCTCGCCGCCCCATAGCTGCCCACCGCAAGGTTGACATCACGTTCAAGGGGGGCGAACCAAGCAGAGGTTGTAGCCCCCCTCTGGGGCTACCCCTAAAACCAGCCACGTCCCTTTCGGGCTGCCGACCGGAGCAGAATTCGTTGGAAGGCTAATTTGGCTTCTGCAGAGGGGGGAAACCGAAGCGGGAAATTGCCCCCCAGCGAGAGGCAACAGTTGACTTTTGGAACTTTCTCGGGGGGCGCTTCGGCCCGAGACCATGACCCCCCGCTCGTTCCCTGCTCCTGCGCACCCGGACTTCCGATCCCTAAGAGGCATTTCTGGCCGAGTTGTTTTCGAAAGGGATGAAGCAGGCGGATCGAGAAGCGGGCCCCCGGTCAGAGGTGGGAGCCCGAATGAGATCTTTCAGGGGGGCGATGTTGACCGGAGGTCGGCCCCCTCGCTAGAAGCCCACGACGTTCGCTGAAACTGCGGACTGTCCAACAGGTTCCGGACGCAGGAGTCGACGTCCCCGGACAGAATGCTGTCCCAGTCTAGTTGCGCTAAGGTCCTCCAGGCTTTGCTTCGTGGGCTCTCCCCTCTCTAGTTCTTCTTTCTCCTTTCCCTTTCTCCGGGTCTTCACTGTCCGATCCCCTCCACTCTACTTCTCGCTTCATCCGTTCTGCCGTTGGTGGGTCTTGATCCGATCTCCCTCTCCCTTCCAGTCCCCCTTCCAGTTGTTCTCTCGCTTCCAGTTCTTCTTCCCTCCGTGTTCTCCCATCTCTAGTTCCTCTGTTCGCTCTCCCTTCTCCACCTCTCCTCTACCCATCTTCTTTTCCGCTGGCTCTTCTCCGCCGCCCTTCAGGCCCGTGCTTGTTTCCACTGACGGGTCACCCTCAAAGGCATCCACAATTCCAACGGCCGGTTGCCAAAGCTTCCATTTCGGTCCAGTCTTGAATCCTGTTAAGCCCAATTACACGGACCCTCCTGAGATCGAGGATCTCCAAGTGAGCTCAACATCATTTAGCGAATTTTTCTTTATGCAAATTCTCAGGTAACGTTTGCATCGCCCCTTCCATGCAAGGCAAACGCCTCTGAGCTTCGTGTGTGAGCTGCAGCCATGACGTCAGAGTATCTATCTTCCGACGCAGGAATCTGTTGCCAAACGCTTGCTTAACATTATGCAAGAAGAGGTCAAGAGTCTCGAACCAAATCCTGAGGAAGGGCTGTTTCGGATGGTCTCAATAAGTCAAAGACTCGAGTCGTGGCTGAAGCGATGCAGGAGCACTCCGACCTAGAGCTTCGTTCAATTTGCGCTTAAGCCTTCACCTACCTGACCTCTTTTCCAGAACTATTACCACAATTCAGCCTCCTGTTTTTTTCGAGGTGACTTGCCTGTGGTCCAAATCATGTCCATTCAAACACTTCCTTCTACCAAGAACAGTATCTTAAAAAAAGTCCATCATATCTTATTGCGTGTTTCTTTCTACTTCATCAGAGCGACTTACGTAAAAGGAAGTCTAATATCATTTTTCTCTTGAGTCACACTGGCCTTCGAACCTGTCGTCTACCGTCCCCTTATACCGAACCGGCGTTCACTGACGCCCATTCCGCAACGGACGCAGTCACTCTGCGCTCATTGGACATCCTGCGCTCTGCGGACGCTTTACGCTCTGCGAACGTCCGTTTCTCAGTGGACGCAAACCCTCCGCTCATCGGCCGTCCGTTCCTCACCGGACCCAGAAACCCTGCGCGCATCGGACGTCCGTTCCTCGACGGAATCAAACCCTCCGCTCATCGGACGTCCGGACCTCACCGGACCCAGAAATTCTGCGCTCACCGGACGTCCGACGCTCTGCGAACGGTGGCTCCCCCGGAGGAACCACCGTTCAGGGGGACGTTGTCGGGGCAAACCTGGGGAGAGTCAACATACCAAGATTCTACCAGGGAAAGACTAACAAAGTCAACCCCCGAAGAATTTGCCGACCAGGTTTGTGTTCGGGAAAGGCCATCTCGGTTAGCCTCAGGAGAAGCAACCGGCCAAAGTTTTGTCGGGGAAATACCATCCGAGTCGGCCTCGGCGGAAATTACCGACCACAGGAGCGCTTCCGCGTTCAAAAGATGGCAGGGAGCTGTCTTCTAGTTGCCCGGACAAACCACCGGGCATCGGAGGGAGCTCTCTAGAGCTTGAGCTCCGCTCGCGCCCAGGGCAAACCGCCCGGCTCAGTCCCCCGGGCTCGAGAAAAGTGGTAGAGGGCGAGAAAGAGGAGTAATCGCACGAGGAGCGAGCACAGGCGACTGAGGTTACAAGCCAGCCGGCATCTCAATCGCCTGTGCGGGCTCCTTCTTCGGAAGCCCTGGTGCCTCTCGGTCGTATGAGGCCGAGTGACTGAGCCGGGCACTTTTGCCCTGGTCACGAGCAGAGCGAGGGATCCCTCAGCCGGGGAACCTTCAACTGGGCGAACGCTTGGGCCGTACGGATGAGGCTCCGATTGGCGAGCAGCCATTTTCGGGCGGATCTCAGCGAGCAGACATTCAGATGACAGTGAAGTGACTTACGATCCGAATCCCCAGAAGGTGCCGTTTTTAACAAGGGAGTGGTTGCTTCTGCTGAAAGGACTTCGCAGTCCTCAGAAGACGCGGCCGCCCCGCGCACCGTGCGCGGCGTACCAAACGCGCGCGCGCGCCGAAAACCTCGCGCTTGAAGGATGGAGGGCTGTCAGAAGGCAACGGAAGCAGGGGTGTCCGACGTCAGGGACATGATCCGGTACTGGTCAGGGTCGGGCCGGACGCGGATTCCGGAAAGGTTGCAGGCGACAGAGGAATCAGAACCGAGAGCGACGCCGATCCTGAGGGGAGCGAAAAGCGTTAGGTTCAGGGAGAGGAACGCCCAGCGGAGTCCGTTGGGAGCTTGTAGAAAATGGGCCGGAATGATCCGGCCTCAGCTGCCGACTTGGACGTTTCAAAAGGCCTTTTGAGTGGAGAAGCCCGGACGCCGTAATCGCCGTTGGGCAGGCAAGAGATGGACGAAGAGAGGGGCCTTCTGGGCTTTCCGAGGAAACCGGAAGGGAACGGGGGGAAGCTGAAAACGCAACGGTGCGAAGGCACGTCGGAAAGCATCAATCCGAAAACAAGAAGTTGCTTATCAAGGGAGTGAAGAGATGGCAGAGCCACGTAGCGGTAGCGGTTCTTCAGAAAGCGAGGAATCGACAAAGACACGTGGCAAGATAAGAGATCCGGAGAGGGCCCTGCGCGCGCTTGAAACAAAGAGCGCGGACGGAAACGAGATGGCCGGCAGTGGTTAGCCGGTGGGACACGTGGCACCAGCACAGGACGCTTACGTAGGTGCCTTAAAGGCCCAGGGTGCCAGTGCTCGGGAGGAAGAGACCGGTCACTCTGCTGCAGAGGAAGTAAGCCGGAGGATGGCCGGTGGGGAGCTACCGGGGGTGGGAATGAAACAACGGAAGCGGAGAATGGAGATTGGAGTGGAGAAGGCCGCGAATAACGAGGACGTGGCAGAGCGGAGCGTTCCGGTCGCAGTAAAAGCAGCGAAATTGCAGAGGACGGAGGCGGCCGGGAACGGCGCAAAAACGGCGGAGCGGAGCGTTCCGTTCGCAGGAAAAATAACGAAACGGACGGAACAAACTCTGGGACGTCTCGCTGTCTCCGCGAATCTGAGAACGACCCGCGGGGCTACTGGTGCTGGGTCCGCGAGACGAACTGGAGGCCTTTGAGTTTGAGACCTGGGACGGGAATCTGGACGGAACGGAACCCTTTCCGGCGGAACCTGAATCGGAAGTGCGCGACGTATGTGGAAGCATCATTCAGGATTCTGGTGAGAGAGTCAGGCTGGATGAACACTGTTTGGTTGAGACCGATTTGGGCGGACTTATCAAACGGAAGCGGTGTGGACGGAACGGTTGTGAACGGAGTCGTTGTGGGCGGAACAGTGGCGGTGGAAACAGTGTGGCCGATGGAGGCAGGGACGGAACGGAGTCGGACGGAACGAGGTCGGACGGAACAAGCCTAGACAGAACCAATCTGGACATAAGGGTTTGGATGAACCTAGTGTGGACGGAACCAGCCTGGACGGAAATAATCCGGACGGAACTGCTTTCGGCGGATCCAGCTTGGACGAAACCAAACTGGACGGAACCAATCTTGGAGAAAGCAGCCAGGAAACAACCGCTTTGGATGCCAGATTGGACAGAACAAGCTCAACCATGGCCAACGCGATCGGAACTATCTGGGCGGAACCAGCTTGGACGGAAGCAGCCAGGCCGGAAGAAGGCGTTTGGAACGGAAACGTGTGCGGCAGAAGTGGGCCGGAATCTGGCGGAACGTCCTCGTCGCAGAAGCTAAAGTTGGAAGGGGGTGCGGAGGAAAGGGCCGTGTCCGCGAGGAAGGCGGAACGACGTTCCGCCGCAAAAGCGGAAGCTTCCGCCATCGCAGCGGACCTGCCGGAGTCCGAGCAGCTCTGAAGCAGGTCATGACACGGATGACTAGCAGTGGGGAGCGGGTTAAGGTGAGGCTCGTTGGCGCGATTATAATTATTGCGTGGAGGAAGTCTCGACAACCAGCAGTGTTTGGATAGTTGTGTTACAACGAAGATAACTGCCTGTCTTGACATTTCAGAGGTCGTCTATCGCTTACACGGTTAAAGTCAAGATTGTTCTGTTTGAAATTCAACCCTCAGGAAGTGTACCGAAGGGCTGAAGTGCTAACCAATCCGTAGAGCTTGAAGCCTTATGATTGAAGAGCACTTGTTGCGTTCAGTCCGAAAATTTTTCTGGATTGTTGCAATAAGATCGGTTCGCGTGGGTGCTGCAGACCCAGGCAATCCCAAGCCTACTTCTGTGACTTACTATCACGACACAGTGATCATGACCCCCATTCTGTGTTGCATGATAGGCGTTACAGTTCCAAACCTGAGCCTAGCCTCTACTTACATACGTACTAGTATACAGCGATTGAGCGTTTCCAAAACTTCACCATCTACCGGTATAGCTGGGGAGAACGACAACCTTGCCCGGCTTGGCTTCGTCCCGAGCAAACATTACCCTCCGCCCCAGGCTACTCAACGGGACAAACACGACTCCCTTGAGCTTCTCCGTGTTGCCTATCAGCTCAGCCCCGCTTTCCAAGCGACTGACTGGGCCCTTAAAACCCTTCACCTCGGCTGCTCGCACTGTGTGGTTAGCCAAGGTACCAGGCTATACAGACACCACCCCTTGTTCCCGCAGTTTTCTGGCTTCTCAAGCCCGGCCTCGACCACTTTTCCGCACTCCACGTGGGCCACGTGGGTCCGTCTTTCCGCATCTTTATCCAACACCCTCCGCCCTTTTCCCCGATCGTTTTGAGGCGCTCGCAGTATCCCATGAAGAACGCCCCGTTTTTTGAGTCTTCGTATTTGCAGCCTTGGAACCAGCACCGGTAGCAGGGAATGAAGGGGCTCACGGCAACGAATTCGTCCATGGCGTTGAGTTCTGGCCAGCGTGTCCGTTTGCACCCTGAACAGAATCGCGCGGTGCTGAACCTCGTTGTGCAAGAAGCTATCCCTGAGTTTAACTCCTCCAGACCGAGCACCGGCTCTGTGATCAGAGAAACGCGGTGACGAACTTTCCAAAACATCGCTTCTTTGTTGAGATTATTGATCTCTACGACGCTCCATCGGCCTCGAAAATATGGAAACGAAAGTCAGGGTCCTGGTTGGAAGGTCTTTTCAGCTTTTTTCAGCCTTCGTTTTCAGTTTAAATGTTTACTGCAAGCAGAGTTGCCGGGGGAACTAACGCTGACGGCAGGAGAGAAAACAATCTCTCATCCCGAAGCGGGCGTCCGCATCCGGGGGGCGAAGTTTGGATGGAAATGAGAAAGTGAAGACAACGCCACGAGCGACGAGCGGGAGCGGAAGAGGCAGCAGCTGAATGAAACTCTCTGCGAGCGGAACAAGGCGAGCGGAACAAGCCGATGACTGGAAGTACTGAAAAGCAGCGGAACTGGACTAAACATAAACGTACTACGACTGGATGCGGGCGGAAGTCAAAGCCGAGCAGGAGGTTATGCATACAGGGGCGGACGAAAGGTTCTCAGGGGCGATACGGAGGTCGGACGGATCGAACATACGGGCGGAAGCAAATGGATATCGAACGGAAAGGAGGGACGTGTCGTTCCGCGTCGCTGTTCGCGGAACGGCGCGGACAAGAACGCACGGCCGGAACGGAACGAAGCTTTGGAGCAGAAAAGAACGTCGTGCCCAAGACGGCAAAGGTCGTCGAGCCTCAGGAGCTTGAAGCAAAACGGAGAGGACACGGAAGAATACAACAGAGTGTGAACGGGCGGTCACTGCCCGTGCCACCCGAGGGGATCACCAAACAGCGCATGCAGACGGTTACGAGAATTTGGAGACAGGTGCCAGCAACTTCAAGAAAATAATCCCAGAGGCTGCGAGAGGGAAGCTGATTAAGAGTAACCCGTTGAAAGCGGAAGCAAGCGAACGCTGAACAGGTTCCGAAATTTTTTATTGAGAGTTAGGTAAAGGGACCCGGGGGGGGGGAGAAGGAGCAGAAAAAGTAGATTGATGTGAGGGACAAAAAGATGGGAGCCGAAGAGAACTATAAGGACTTGTGTCGATATCAATCTGGAACTGGTACTACATGGATTCCAAACTTCTCCGCCCGTGCTGTTGAATCGACAGCGCGGTTGGGCGTTCCAGATCATTTGAGGAGCATCAGATACCAACCTCTCTCCCAGAAATTATAGGAAGTACTAAGTAGCGGCGCGTGGTCCAATCACTTAAATTTCGCATTCAGCCGGTTTCTTACTGTCATCTTGAGGCGGTATACAAGACACCTCGAAAGGTAAGCAGTCGCTGCATGACGCTCGATCCTGGCGTCAACAATAGGAACAGAGCTCTTCTAAGATGACATCAGCGGACCGCACGCGCAAAACAACACCTTCTGAAGGCGAGTAGAACCTTGACGGGGCGGCCTTGCACGAAGTCGTGCCGGAACCCTCTAGATTCTGATAGCAAAGATCAGAAACCCCAAGAGCGGTCGGAGATTGCTCACCGTCTTCCAGCCGTGCATGAAAGTAGTCCTGCAGCATGCCGGAGAAGTAGGGGTGCGCGTCGACCGAAAAGCTGCAAAAAGCTTCCCAGTTTTCTTAGCCAATCGGATGGCTTTGAAGATCCACGTGGTAGACCAAGGTACATAACCAGAGGAGTAATATGGCCTGAAAAGGACCGTACCTCCTACCT